TGGGGGGGGGGGGGGGGATGCGCAACGTTCTGAAGATTGGATTCTGGCCTGTTCCGGGCTTCAGCTTTTCAGCCCTGGACTGGGCTGGGCTGGGCTTCTCTGGCGTCAGTCGCTTTCGCGCAGGAACTGCGGCCTCGGCGGCGGCGCATTTCCATGTTATTATTATGCTGCGTGGCTGAGTTGGGCTGAATTGGACGAGAACCCGAGCGTTACGGCTTGTCAGGGTTCTTGGCGGCCGGCCGGCGGCGCTACACGGGCATGCTATGCTGCGACAAGGACGGCTTTTTTTGCGTGTTGCTGCGCCTTGCTGCTTCATTATATTATGACCAGGGAAGGGGGGCTTATTAACGTACTCCCGCCGTGCCCCGGCGCCGGCGTCCCTCCCCAACCCCCGATGTGCTCGTCGAGCTCTTCCCAGCCGCGAAGACCGCAAAGGGGTCCGGTTGATCCGAGCGACCTCCAAACGTCGAGAGCCGTGGCTTTTAAGGTCTAGGCCTTGCTCTTTCTGTGTGTCACACCACGGTCGAGTTCTAGATTCCTTTCCACACTGTTTCTAGTCTACGTAAACATACCATGTGTCAACCTTGTCACCTTACCCTACCAAGCCACCACCTTCGGTATTCTCCTAATGCAACGATTTCGCTCCGTTTTAAAGTAAAGGGGAAAAAAAAGACAAAGCTAGTATAACAACCATTTTAGACGCGGGGTTCAGTTACATTTTCTCTGGCACGGTAGGCGGAGCTGCCGGCGACTGACTGCCGGCCTGCTGGATGCAGCGTTTTCGGCACTAACATCGCCCCACGCCAACTCTATTTTAATCACGCACGACAACACGACGACGCAGCGTATCTTGTCACGGGTAGCTAAGTAGATAGGGAGAGGAGGCGTCATGCATATGGCCCTGATAGGGCAGGTTGCGTGGCCTGCCCCCTCGATCTCTGGCCGCCCGTCCAACCACGGCTAATCCGTGTACCACATGGCCTGCTTAGCCGTAGATATCATGACATGGTACTTGTCTGTAGTTTGCTTCTTACTATCATTATCTAGTCCAGTCACCAAGGTTTCTTCCGAAGCGCTACCAGCCCAGGACGCGGTTTGCAGCTCTGGCTTTATCCTTCTCAAGATACCACGTCATTGGCCCTCGAAACTTGGTCGAAGCGGAACCTGCGCGGAATATAGAGCCACGGAGTGTATTTTTGGGCGTGTACAATAACATATGAACGACAGTGCTTCGAATGCCTACATTCATCGACAAGTCGTGCCGCGGCCATCTTATAAATCAACACCCGCTTGCAGTTTGTATACTTGGTGACGTTGTTTACAATCGATAGAGTCATTAAGTATTCCCTTCAAATCCCCTTCGACAATACCAAACGTAGCCAGGGATAATAGCATGTTTCGTTATCCACCACGTCCATGACCAAAGGCAGGTACTTCAGACGCCACTCATCTTGAGTCTCGCGACTGAAGCAGTCCGGGTTTAGATTTACGCGCCGTGCCTTGCAATACTCCCAATAATCGGGGTACCATCCCGCCTGACCCCAATCAATGACAGCAACCACCCTGGGATTCGCATCTCTGGAAAGCATAATATTCGGTGCGATAAGATCTGCATGAGTGAAGACTATAGATGCGTGCTGAGAAATCTCAATATCACAGGCATGCTGGAATTGCTCGACAGCATCTGGTCCCTTGAATGGGCCAACAAGCTCTATGCGATTTTGGAGGAAGATGTCGTTGAGAAATTGTCCGCATGAACTACCTGTTTAACTTGTCAGCCCCCTACAGGTATTTTCTGAAGCAGAGCACCAACCTATGTAACATTCGTAGCTCTCTCCTGTGTTAAGCTTCCCCACGAATCAACCATTGACCTCAGTTGAGAACACACGGAGCGCCTGTTGGCTTCGTCTAGACTTTCCCATCGCTCTTGCAAAGTGTCGCCCTGGATCAGTTCCATGTATATAAAGACTTGCCCTTGGTCTTCAACCCATGTGAAGACCTCAGGAACAGGGACCCGGTCGCCCAACTTCTCGCGGACCATTATCTGGGCCTTGGCTTCACGAACAGTGACATCGGCCCCGTACTTTACAAGTAGGCTAAGCGACGGGAAGCGTACTGGCGGCGGGCGATTAAAGCGGTCTGCATGCACGCCGCCTAGCTTGCGATTCACCAGTCTGACTTCGTTTGGAGAGGGGAGCGCGCGAGCTCGGTTTCGACGGGAAAAGCAGCTGCAGCAGACCATCAGACGGTCTAACACAGCATTGTGGATATATTCTTTTGATGGTGTCATTGAGGGTAAGAACACCGATGATTGAATACATACGTCAAATCACAAGCTGTATGAAGCAATATGAAAGTTCAGAGAATTGGCGGTCGCTCTAACCATCTGCTAGCCCGAGGGACCTGCTGGAGCATTCCTTGTTGAACTCCTTAGTTTCAATGGCTTTCCGTTCAAGGATCACTGGGCATATTGGGTCCGTTCGTCTCATCACCCACTAGTCGGCGTCCTGATTCATGCAACTGGTGACGTTCGAAACGGATTCCAGTTCCGGATCAAGCGCAACCATGATTTTCGCACCACAGGAACCACAACGGATCCCACTGCAGTGGGTGGAGGGCAAATACTTTAACGAGACTGCCATGTTCAACCATGGCGAATACAAAACAGATGCTGTGCCAGTCTGCGGCTTTGAGGCGGCACTTCACAAGATCGAGCCTCCCGGGAAGACGCTGAGCACAGTGGATGATAAGGTCAGTCTACGGAATAAATTGCCAGCAACAGTACCACGCTGTTGTTAACTTCGCAACATGCCGGACCATGACTCATTGGTGGATTATATAGACTGCTCCAGGAAAGAAAATTACGCAGAGGAACTGTCAGACATGGGATCATCGAATCCGCGAACCAACTTGCCATCGACCGCATCCTTGCGCCAGCTGTCGTCGCATATCTTCGCAGCATCGAGCAGTAGCTCCAAATGGATGGTTCGCAGAAATGGAAGAACGCATAGTTAGACCGTTGTAGTCAATTCCCTATAGCTGCTAGCTTACTCATAGCTGACGAGTCTAATATAAGACGTTCTATTGAGGCACTGCAATCTCTCCGGTCTGTCCCTCGCCTCTGTCCCTCGCCACGACTGCAATGTCATCTTCAAGTGTGCTTTGCTCTAGCGCCAGTTGTCAATGCTACTTATGATATGCCGAGATAACTAGGTAGTTAGTGATGTGATGGGTACTCGCCTTTTTGCGCGACCAACAGATGCTACAAGAGGTACTATGGCAAGTATGGAGTCACTTCAGGCTTGGCGAGAATTGATGCGGTCAGTTAACTACTCCCCTGAGAATTGAGCACACAACCGGGCCATCGCAGCGCTGCGGAGGCGCTTATGCATCTGATACAGCCAGTCATTGAGGATCGGGGCTCCGATGGCTGGATAAAATAAGTACATAGGTACAGTGTGAGTGAGGAGAACGCCAATGGAGACCGAAGCTTTCTGAAGTTCCGTCCACACCCTGGCCGTCAGGTCTGATGCCACGCATGCACGTCACATCACATTACATCCCGCCTCTGACCTGATTTCTTATGTCTGATGATTTCTCATGTCTGAATCGGCGCCTCACCGCAATCTCAAAAGCAGAGATAACGAGTGTACATCTGACCCGGGCCGCTGTTCTACACATCTGAGTTCCTTTCCCATTGCATGACCAGCGCCGATTTTGCAGGTCCAAGTCCTTTCAATGTGAATGTGTGTATACAAGCAAATGATGTAAAACGTACTTCTAATTCACGAGACGGCAGTCATCTCTCATGTGCAAGTAATTGACCGCGCATGCATATTCGGCGCAAACCCACGCCATGTCCTCCCTTACAAATGCGACATCATATCCTATATTCAACGCCCGCAACTCCATCCAAGGTAAACACGCAATGATCTAAAAGTTCAAGCCATACACAGACATGCACGCCACATTACCCCTCCATCCTGTCCTCCGTTTCCTTACCCAAGTTCTTGAGCAGGTAGCTGCGCTTGAAATACTCGTTGGGGTGCACGATCGTCTCCAGCTGGTTGCTCGTCATGATGCCCTCCTCCTTGGCCTTTTTGATCTCCTGCTTATGCAAATGCTCAAACACACTGCATCGAAATTAGTCCTTCACCTCACCAACCTCATCGTCCGAAAAAAAAAACTCACCGGTTGCACGCCATGTGGTACTTTTGCGTATCTTTGTCCTCCTTGACGCCCTGCAGGACGGCCCTGTCGTTGACGCCCATCGCCTGCACCAGCGCCGTCAGGTTCTCCATGTTGAAGTGGCGGTACGGGCAGCCGTGCGCCTCGCCCGGGCCCGGCGGGTGCTCCGTAAGGATCTTCTGGCAGCTGAACGGGCTGTAGCCGCCGCCGCGGCGGTTCGAGTCGCCGCCGACGTCGCCGTACGCGTGCCGCACGTTGTACCGGTACTCCTTATTGAACGCGTCGTCCGTCACCTTGTGGAAGGCGCCGCGCCAAAAGGCGAGCGCCTCCTCGAGGTTCAGCCCGATGCCCTTGAGGAAGAGCGAGTACTGCAGGCGGCCGTAGTGCTTGAGGTGCGCGTCGCGACGCAGCGACCGGTGCAGGTGCGAGGCGCACGCAGGGAAGTGTTGCGACAGCGAGTCTATGCTGGCTGCAGAGACGACGGCGCCGGAGGGCGCGCCGGACGTGCCGGACATGTAGGCCGCGTCGGGCGTGATGAAGTTCTTGGAGAGGTGGTTGAGGATCGGTGTCAGGCGGTCGTCCTCGTCGAGGCGGGGGAGGGCGCGGGCGGTGAGCTGCCGGTTAGTTAGCAGGGGACTTCTGTAGTTGTAGAGTGATCATGTCAAGAGACTTACCGCCAGCTGCTTCTCCAACCTGGTCGTAAACTCGGCGACCACCATGCTCGACTGCTCACGCACCGGCACAAACGCCTTGCCGGCCCGGACAAAGACGCGGCGACTCTCGACCAGCTCCGGCACGCGCTCCCAGTCCACACTAAACCAGCCCTCATCCTCCACGGCAGACGCCGCCGCCGCCGCCGCGGCGCCAGGCTTGCCTCTCGCGCCTGCGGCGGCCATGGCGGCCAGCTCGGCGGCGTACTCGCGGCGCTCCTCGGCGGACACAGGGTGCCACCAGTCAAAGTCGAGGCCGGCGACGAAGGCGGAGCGGTCGGCGAGGTCGTCGGCGGCGAAGCGGATGCGGAAGAGCATCGTCTCGACACGGGCGAAGCGGCGGCGCAGGTCCTCGGTCGAGGCGAAGGCGAGGCGCAGGATGAAGTGGCTGTAGTGGTCCTTTTGGCGCTGCGCGTCGCGGCGCGTCGACGACGACGAGTTGGAGTCAAGCGGCAGGTACTTTTCGAGGATGGGCTTCATGTACGACGCCGTATCGGCGGGCGACTTGTTTCGGAACGAGCACGCCTCGAGCTCAGCCAGGACTGTTGCCACTAGTTAGCACTCGGGAGCCTTTTGCTTTCTTGGTTGTGGCTCGTAGGGGGGACGCCGGTTCCGCAGGGAGGGCGAACGCACCGCGAAGACGGTCAATGGCCCATTGCTCAAACTGCTCGAGGGTGATGTCGGCCGTCGGGGCGTCCGCGTAAAAGTTGAGGCGATGTGTGTAGTCGGCCTCCTTGTACTGGACCGTCGCGAACTGCTTGCGACGGGGGTCGACGACGCTCTTCCGCTTGGGGTCGATGCGGTTAAAGTCTTGTCGCAGCATGTTGGGCAGTCGTGGGGGTTATCTGCGCCGTATTCACAAACAGGCGTAGTCGAAGGATGAAGGCAGTGATGATTATGGAGATGGGGATTGGCCAGCGGCCGTGGGTACTGTGGAAGACGCGACGAGACGCGTTAATGGCGACGCCACAGTGGTGTGGCGTCGCCTACGCGGCTGCACCAAAAACAGCTTTACGCGAAATCCGTCAGGGCCAGCAACCAACAGCCACCTGATGCACAGAGGGAGGGCCAAATGCTACTAAACCACTCACTACAATTAAATTCTGCTCTTTGACCCAATCCATGGGCAGCCAGTTGGTGAAATTCGGAGGTCTCGCGATGATCCGACAGGTTATCAACACGCTACTTCGACTTCCCTGACTAAGAGGTTATAAGCCGGCGCGAATCCGAAGCTTCACGCTACTTCTTGCCCTCCCCGCCCCCCATCATCCGCGCCTCGTGCATGCGCCGCAGCCGCAGCGCGCAGAGTACCGCCCGCGCCGACAGCCGCAGCAGCGTGTCAATCGGCGTGCTCGGGTCGCAGTACTGCAGAAACTGCGTCTGCAGACCCGTCTCGAGCTCGGAGGTGGTGGCATCAAGTGTGTGCCACAATTGTGTAGAGTCGAACCAGCCACGACTTTGCAAGGCACACCGCCGCTGTCCAATTTTAAAAAGCTAAAGCTGTATTCAAGGAATAAGAGATTAAGATGTTTTTTTTAATGATTAAGAAGAACTAAAACCGTAATTATTACATTAAATAAATAAATCTATCAAATCAATAATATCTATTCTGGTTATATTGAGGTTCTATTACAAGTGCAACAGAAGTGGAAGCAGAACTGTACAACGTGAATCTTGCGTTATTTCCGCTCCTGCCTCTCTTGCAGATCCCCTACAAAGGCAAGCCGGTGGCGATTGTCATCTACCACGCGCGCATACTCGAGCAGCAGTCTCCAAACGTACAGTTTCATGTCCTCGTTTCGGTACACAGCATTCGCCCAATTTCTGCTCTCCTTTGCTATTACCTCAGCTTCTTCATCGTGCCCGTCAAGGAAGTACTGCATCACGGCATAGATGTCCTTGTATGACATGTCAAAGGGGACAAAATGGACCCAAGGAATCATCCGGTCATCATGCCACTCCGTGTAAATAGTGGCTTTGAGCGGCATGCTGGTAGACTTTAGAAATGCCCGCCAGCGGGCGCTGTAGGAATTGCCGTCGACGTCAGGCAGGTACTTGTAGCCAAACTGGTCCCCCATGGGAAGCGGCTTGGCGACAGCCATGGAGTCGGCCGTATACGGGCACGTCATATCGAATGGCTTCGCTGGCGTAGGAAAACATTCCATATGCACAAAAGCGACATCAGAGAAGGAAGTGAGCCAACGACCAATTCGGCCGTGCATGGCGTTTGGCAGCGAATAATTGTCCGTCGATAGGAGATTAAATGTTTGGTGGGACGAGGACATTCCTTGCTCAAGTTGAGCCACGTCGGTGCCATTCATCATCTGCACCCATCGATGACGGTGGAAATGCCACCAATTGCTAGGCTTGTTGCGCCCACCCGAGGCCGTGCCGCGCCATATCAGCCCGTTCTTCTTCTTGGCCCAGCTTCCACCGCTACGCCGGCCGCCATCGTATAACTTGCGGCTGGACAAATACATACCGCCTGGTATTAAAAGCTCATTATTGCCAGGTAGCTTTGAACCGCCAAAGAGGGGGAAGAGAGTCTTGGTTGTTGATATGCTAAAGCTCTCGATAAACGTCCCATGAAGTCCTCGTAGATGGGGCTGTAGACAGGGATCTTGTGCCTGAGTGAAATTCTGGATAAATCCGTGGTATGTGTATGGCATTTGTTGGCTTGGAAACTCAACAGGTACATCAAAAGACTCTAGACGGCTGATATGGCGACTTGGCTTGTCAGGCGAACAGGTCTCACGAAAGTGATTCCAGTACTCGCCCGCATCCCCTCCAATCCAGCCAGGATCGTACACATCATGCTTCTCGCTATCAAGCTCATGCAGACTGCTATACTCGGCGATGGTATCCTTGGGGTCAACAATCGAGCGTTGCTCTTTTTCCATGTTGAGATAATGGTTGATGGTGTCCCATGGCGTTAAAACACGCGACTCATCCATCACATTTACGGCCATGTCGAGATCGGGAAGATGTGGCACCATCTTCTTGACTAATTTGGTCCAATGCTGGATCCACGGTTGCCGTGTAGGGTCGTCCGTGACCATGGTCACTTTCTTATTTCGGACACTGATGACCTGGGGTTGGGTCTTTGCTTGTATGCGTAATTTTCTAGGTTCCAGAGCCCAGAAGGGGTTGATGTCGTGGTGTATCCGATCGAAGAACTCCTCCACAATAATTGCATTGTCTTTTGTAGCCTGCCTAAACCACGCGTCAAACCCGGGCGGTGGGTGTCGACCGCGTCGTTCACGATAGCGAGCCGCAGCATCCTCGAGTGTGAACGAGCGTCGGCTTAGTAACTGCTCGAAGTGCCTGGTAGCATTTGAAATAAGTTGATCGATTGGGTGTGGATCGAGATTTTTTGTGGTGGCAAGCTTTGTAATGCCCGGATAAGGTTTATGGCGGAGAGGTTGTAAGATGAAAAGACAAAGGCCGAAAAAGACCAGCGGCAAAACCAAAACGACCCGCCGTCGGTAAGACATTGATCTCGACATTATCCTCCACAATTCGCGCAGTATTTGCGTCAAGGAACCAGAGAAGAACATTTCGTCTCGGGTGTTGTAGAATTATGGCCAAAGTAGGGGTAGCAACGCTGCCAAATCATGATTGAGAAGAGAGGGAAGGGATCCAAACCCTCTCTTTGCTCATTCAAACGAGGATCGAGCGGCACTGGCCCGCGGTTTCTCCGCAAAGATTGGCCCGCAACAGAGCAAGGGTGGCGTCAGCGGGCCGTCACGAGACGACAACACTTGTCGGGCCAGACCTACAGTAGAAAGCCAGCAAATCTACATACTGTAGCATCGGACCGGCGGTGGCGCACGTTCCAGGGGAAAATTAAGGACATAGCCCCCTGTAGCCATCTTCTCACGGGCTGGCAGCCCGACGTGTACGACACCCCGAGAGTTAACCAAGCAAATATTGTAGGAGCGAGCGCCACGGTCGGGGGTCTGCGGCACACGATATCGTGCTCCGAGATCAAGATATCGCTAAATTATACTGATGGAGACTTTTGTTTCTTCGTATTCAGAATCATTCAGCCAAGGATCTGTTCGTCATACGGAGATGGTTACCGCTGTTAGGGCAACGGAACTCGGGTGCGCCCCCGCGACGGCACGAGCTAACCGGAAGATTCCATTATGTCAGTTGTGGCTGCACTAGTCTCTGCAGCAGTGACTAACTGTAACTAGAGCTCTGGCCGTTGAATGTTGTTTATGCGGAACGTCCGCACGAATTAGAGCGCTTAAATTTGCTCGAGTGGAGCATTGAGGATTGCTTTGATCCAGAGTAGTGGCCCAACAAGGTATGTATGTATGTATGTATGTATGTATGTATGTACGTTGCTTCCGCACTAGGACGAGTGCGGAGGATCTCGCTAGCAGCCCTATGTTCAACACACTAGGGAGGGAGTCGACGCTTATTTCTCGCGTGTAAGGCGGCGCAAAAGCAGCAGTGCGGATTATGCGCAATCAAGTTTATTTCTGTTTTCAGTAGTACATCTGCAGCGCATCCATGATGCCTTCCGCTCTCCACTTATGTTGGGGGCGGCCACGCGTCGGCGCCTCCGGGTCGTTCCGGAGCGCAGCAATGCATTGTGATGGCGCATTTCCTCCACTCCTATGAGTATGCCTAATAAAGCAATTCGACAAACCTTTTAGGTTGGTATCAAAACCTGCAAAGCAACATGCTGGTTCCTAAGGGGAGCGCACGTTCAATGGTAGCGCAATGTTTTGCGAATTTAATGCTGCCTCCAACCAACACGACAGCCATCGACTGTCAAAAATCTCGACTCAATAAAATCAAAGCCTGCAGAAAAATGCGGAAAGCCGTGGGCAAAGCTGATAGCCTCTTTTGGGTACATTGTTTTGCTATTGATCCCCATGTCGTTGGCGGATGAAGAGTGAGTAGACTGTGCCTCGATCTCTCTTTATTCCTACTGAAGAATACTAATTGTGTTTCGCAGTCTCCGGATTGCGCGTGAAGAAGAAATTTCTATGGTTATCGACTGCCTGAACGGTCGTGAGAACGATTTAAAAAGACTGCTGTAGGTTCTCAATCAATCCTTCGAAGTCCTTTTTGCAGAGAAAGACTGCAGAATCACGCGACAAGTCCCTCTAATTACCTAGCGTGATCCGGATTTACATGTGTATGTAAAGATGACAGGCCCACGGCCTAGGAGAGTATTTGTTCTAGAGTAGCTAGCAGAGCTTAAACAGTAGAACTTTTCCCCCTAATTTTTTAATATTTCTTAAAAGCTAGTATAGAATATCTTTATGATTATAAACAAATCAGTCTTCAGCCTAACTCTAGCTAATAGGTAGATTAGCCTAAGGTGAGAACCAAATATATATAGACTATAATAAATAGTATTATAATATAAATTATATTAAGCGATAACTCTTAATAGTAGAACTATTAGTTAAATTAATTAGTAAAAACCTAGTTTCGTTTTTTTTTTAAAAAATCTTTTTTTTATATATCTATTCTAAATACTCTAATTCTTTCTCTTTATAATATTCACTATAGATAGATTAGATAAGTACCTCTAAATACATATATTTATAAGTTATTAAAATTTTTTATATAACCCTTAAAGATAGATATTTTAGATGAACTACTAATTAGAAAGCGTTTATTTTAATCTTAAAAGCCAGGAAGACGACGCTCTGTATTAGCACGCCTGTTAACCAAGTCAGGATAGTTGAGAGTAAGCTCTGCACCGCCATTGTAGATATTGTCAATAGCCTCAACACCTTGCATAAAACTGTGATCTTGATTGCCGACCTCGTAAGTCCAAGCTCCAAACCTACCACGTGATAGAATGTCTTTGCTTTTCAGGTAAGGCAAGGCCTCTTCCAGCGCAGCATCGCGCTTCAAGGACGGCGTTGGATAGCCGTGGTCGAAGCGACGGCTGTAAATGCTTACAATCTCGTCGTCTGCGCGAACCATGTCGTTGACAATAAGTTGTGAAATGCATTCATTGACGATAGTCTTCTGGTCAACCGGCTTACACGCCGACTCAGAGACTTCTAGCATAATGGACCAGTAAGGCCCTTGCTGTGGTGTACTAGTCTTAGCCTTCTCTCCGTTGGCGAGGCGTAGCGTGGGAAGTTTGCGAAACGCAGCGGGTTGATTGTTTGGAGAGTAGTTGGAAAAGATCGTCGCTCGATAAAACGGGCAATCGTCTGCGACAAAGTACAGCTATGGCGGATAAGTAAGTGAGCGTGGCGCACAGGGTGCGCCAAGGTGACTTACCCAGCACTTGTCACCGATGCGATCGGGTCGGGCACCACGAATACCAACTCCGATGACATTAGTGGACGAGTAGCGAAGAGACTTGCACATTTCTGCCAGCTTGGTATCTCGCATCACGGACGCAAGGGTGTCGAGCGCCATAGTATTGACGAGGTTGTTGTACCTGACTAATGTGCCTGTTTCGAGGCTGTTAATACGATGCTTCTTGGCTCGTGGGCTCTGGCCGTTACAAACGTACCATCCTTGAGTTGCACGGTCTTGGAGTCGGCATCGATATGGATCACTGAACTGTGCTCGCCAAATCGAGTTCGCTTCGCGGGCAATGTTTTCGCGACGGCGGTCCAGATACCGCCCGTGCCTCCATTTGTAGGGAAGCGGAAAGTTGCATTCGGGCCCCATCCCGGAGCCACCTTTCCAATGATGACATTTCGGGCGAGCAGCTTTATATCTGGACTTGCAACTCGTTCACCAACCCAAGAAGCATTCATCTATTGTGCGAAATGATTAGCCTCATGGCGGCACTGCCAAAATGGAGCATCAACTGACCTCGGTGGTCGGAATGGCCCAAACTTTGAAATTATATGGTCTCATAAATATTTCTGTCAATCGTAGCCCAACATTACGCTGGTTCCACTCATCGAAGTTCGCTGGCTTGTCAGTCGGGGAGCGTACTCGGGCCTCAAGCGCGGCATCGATAATGCCCTCCATGCAGAGCGCCTGTTCCTCCTTTTCCAGGGCTGCAATGTTGTTCTGGAACGGATATGGAACCCATTGACCTCTGAAGCGTACATAACATACGCGTTGGTGCTCAAGCCAATCATCGCGGGAAGGAAGTGCCTCGTTCAGAGCATCGTCGAAGTACTTGTAATGGGAGAAGACTACATGGCCACCAACGTCGAAGAGCTGTCGTGTGTGTCAGAGAATGTCTTGCTGCTCTTTGGATTTTTCACCTCAAAGGGGACTCACAAAGCCTTCAGGAGTTACATCCGTGGAAGCGAGTCCACCAGGAACAGGGTTGGCGTCAAGGAGTAGCCATGATTCGTAGTTCTATCGTTGGAAACGGTAAGCAGTTGCGTGTGTTAAGCCGCGCGACCGAAAATAGGCTGACTTGCAAGGTGGTGGAGTCGTTTAGCAGCTCCGAGACCTGTCTTCAAGTTAGCCGTCAATGGATGCGGTGCCAACCACGGGAAGTTTTCGGTCATACCTGTCGGACCAGCGCCAATGATCAAAGTTTCGACGGTGCTTGAGGTCATTTGTGTTATTAAACCTCACGGCGTGAGACTGGGGTGACTCACATGGAATTGGACATGGCAAATTGGTGTGATCCGGATCGAGCAAAATGTTAATGAAGGCAAAGCAGTTTGGGCTACAGGTAAAAAAACTGGACGATGATGGAGGTAAAGATGAGGGCGGAGGGAAGCAGCAGGAAAAAGGGGGCGAGCTCTTTTACTGTTTGGCATATTGTCTACCGAGCGACCCTCCATCCCTTTGGATGCCGTCAGGCTCCAGGAGGTATTTCTATCCACTGCCAAGGACGTACATTCTGGCTACAGTCAAACAGGGATTGTTACCTGAGTCTTAATGTACTTCGTCTATTTATGGGCAGAAACAGTTCAGCACTCTACTAGGAGATGCCACGAAAAAGTAAGTACCTACAAGACATAGCCCTACGGCGGTTGGTTCGTATCCTTGTCAGTGACCGTCCTGGAGCCTTATTGCATCCAAAGGGATGGAGTGACTAGGTCATCCAGCGCTCGAATGCATTCAGGCTGCATGCCGATTACGAAGAAGGAATGGCGGAAAGACGTCTGAAATGGAGCGGGTGGAAGCCCCTTGACCCTGTCATAATTGGCCGTGGCTACTACAAAAGATGCAAATGTATCCGTACATTGAGAGGAGCACGACATGTCAGAAGGGGGTGTGAAATATTACCCCATGGGGCGGGGTGTAGACCAGGACAGGGGTGTTGGTTGTCGAGACGTAGTTTTTTGGTCAACATGGATGTGGGAACCTGGCGACGAGGAGATTAAATCGAGAAGCGGACCCATTGGTTTTACTGTGCTTCTCATGCGACGGGTGCGTGAATATTTGTGTCCGTGACCATTGAGGAGATATGGCCAACGCTGGCGGCGGAATTGCCCGACGCGGACATGGCGACCGTGCCGCACGTTAACTTGGCCAGCGCAAGGGGGTTTCGTCAGTCTGGCCCCGACGGCTCGCGACTAGGCGGTTGACGAGAAATAAAACACAAGTTCTGGTCATTCACGAATATACCACATGATTGCTGTTCCATGAAATAGTCCCAGCCTCTATCGAATAGCTTCTTTTGAGCAACAGTCGCGGCAGTGGCACAGACCATCGCCAGTTGAACTCTGCCAGAGCAAAGAATTGTACCATAGGCGGACGGGCTCGAGGCTTCTCAAGCGTGTTCAGCCGCTTTCCTATACGCTCGCATGAGTTTTACCTGACTTGACGTAAAGGCTTCCCGAGTCGCGACACTTCCTCCAAATCGACCGATTGCGACGGATGCTCACAATAGCTCATAATGACACTGCTAGTATGCCAGGCAGGCACTGGTGAAAAGTAGTGAAACGGACCAGAGAACACTTGATGTTGAATGGAATACGTTCTTTCCCCGTTCTGCCCACCAGCGATGCTGGGCAGTCTGGTGTGCTCCGAATCCACATTAGATACGAAAAAACATCTAGGTACTATCACACAAAGCAATTTTCACGGATAAGAGATTATATTACGTGAGGTAGCCGCATTACTAGGTATACATCCGTCGATGGCGCGACGCCAACGGACCATCAACTTACTAGGCCACGTACGACCTAATGTATACAGACTTTAATTTGACTAATCTAATAAACTATAAGAAGGAAGACGTTTTAAATCTAAAGGAGGTAATTAATAAGGGGCGTAAAAAATTTAACTCTATTATCCTAATAATTATTAACGTTTTAAGCCTAGTCTAATAAAACAAGTATATAGGCTTCATTAGTAACCTAGTGGACGTACTCTCTATACCTATTATTATAGTATAGTAGTTAGTTACTAATATATAGTAGGCTAATAATATTAAGTAAAAAATTAATAATAAAGAGAGGAAGTATTTTATCCTTTTATTCTTTATAGTAATTCTATTCTTTATCCTCTTTATTAGGGAGATTATTAGTACTATTAGTGTTTTAGCTAGTGTAGCTTATATTATTACTATTATTAGTAAGCTTAAAGCCATTAGACTAGATATTTATTCTCTTATAGATAGTAAAGGAACGGATTATTTTACTATTACTAGCCTCTTATTTATTTTAATAGTGGCTTAATCCTAATCCATAGTTAGTCTACTTCTTAAGTAGAGAGTTAGTTTAAGTGTATAGAGTGTATATAAGCAGTTATTATAATATAAGTTATATTAGGAAATATTCTCCTAATAGTAGAGCTATTACTTAGATTAATTAGTAGAGATCTAGCCTAGCTATCTACTAGAAATCCCCTTCTTTATATATCTATTCTATCCTCTACTATATTACCTAGATCACCTAGCTCACTCTATAATCCTAGTGCGGGCGTGGCTCGTGGGTGTAATCATCTTGTTTCAATCTTGTCGTACTATCTTACTGATCTCTTTTGCGTGCGATCCATCATACTAGTCAGGCACTGCGTTAACTGTAGTTCCGTTGGTTATTGACTTGAGGTTGGTGAAAGGAAGGTTCCCCTCGTTTGGAATTTCTCTCTTGCCACGTATTGTAGACAGTATGTCGGCCATGAACGCAATTCTGAGGCGCATGTGGTGCCAGTCCGGACGCCAGAGATTGCTTGGGTATGACGCCGCTCTCGTGGCTTACGAAAGGCGTGGCGGGCGAGAAGAGGGAGTTGCACGGCTTTTGCTTAATCTTCTCCTCTGCATTCCCTGTCTTCTCTTTCCTCTTTGGCCTTCCTCGAGACTAGCATCAAAATAAAAAATGGAAGTGTACAGTGCTGAGGAGCCTGGGTTACGCAATATGGATCTTTATATTCTTAGAACTTAATGTGCGACCCTGTCTTCCAGAGCAGAGAGATAGCCGCGCAATTCACAATTGAGCAAGAAGTTGGTCTTTGGATGCGCCAGCTCTGGCTGTGCAAATAACCTGATACGGTGCTGCCTGTAAAACCCTGTTACAGGGTATTGGAATGGCGGATTTTTGAGCGCTACCCGGAGGTCAAGAAATATCTCGCCAAACTTAATCATTCTACGCCTCTCATCATATTCCTGCCGTAGCTTTGATACTTACTGGCATTTCCTACCCATGATAAGCTATCCATGGAGGCTACTAGAGTGGAAAGTCGAGCCCAGCAGTACGCCCTACGTAGCCACCTTAGTCACAGTGTTAGCGACACGCATACTTGCTTCTTAATTACCTTCCAAAGGCGACGTTGAGACTGATTTAAACCTTCCAACGTAATCATGCGTAAATATGTCTACGATTTAATAGATGGAAATCCCAACGGGCCTATTAAACCAATGGCTAGATGCGTTGGCAGTTAGGCGGTAACCACAGGGCGGAGGTCTGTCCTGGGTTGTGCTCACTGCAAGGCGGCTTTCAGGTGTGACATCGCACAGCGCCCGTGTGCTGCAGGCAACCAGACGTGCGACAAAGATTTGGACGAAAAGGACACTTCCAAGCATCCCTGATTATCTGGTCTAGTGGCTACAAACAACATCATTGGTATCTTATTGTTTTTTTTTTTTTTTCACTTTCCGAAAGACACAGCCTACTTATAGTAAATGTCATTTATAAGGTAATGCTGCCCTTTGCGAGGTAGAAACGGCCCATAACATAAGGGGAATTGGAGCAGGCGGTGTTGAAAATTTAGAGCCGAGAGGGGAGTGATAACTAAGTAATAAGAATTGAGGGGTTTTGTCAGCCTAGCGGAGACCATGCGCGTCGCCCGACCATCAGGCTTGTGATGGGACATTGTTTCGCTTGCGTCGCTCAACCCTCTTTATATTCGGGACTGCCGTAAACGCCTTCGGAAATAATCAAGCCACGAAGTTGCGATATACATCAACCCTCAATCTGCATCCTCGACAATCATTTCGCCGCAGCTACTCCCCCAAGAGATCTTGCTTCACATCCTCCGCTTATTAGGCTCAGCGTTCTTCCGCCAGGATGCTCGACGCCTCCTCGTCTCCAAGTGGTGGTACCAACTTGCTTGGCCAGTACTCCTCCAAGATCTCGACTTCTCTACAGAGTCGCTTCAGAAATTTGTCCCCGTATCGAAGAAGGTGGACTTTGTTCGTTCGATACAGAATCATTTGATAACAGTCAGCCTCAGCCTTGATGGCTTTAAGGACTGGCATTCGGCGCAATCTAGCACGGAAACGTCCGGTATCGACTTCCAGATCGTCAATATGTGGACCAGCCAGTTGAATGGCTGCCTTACTGCTCTTGCCGGCGTACTCCAACAATGTACGAGATTACAGTCTCTCAGGCTTGAAGCGCGACCGGAATGCCATGACCCTCGGCTGGACCTACAGCGACGGAATTATTTGATGGCATTGCCTCTGGCCAGCCTCGTGTCTATCAGCCACCTAACTTGCCTCGAAATTGATACCGCCGGTACATATCTCATAAGTCAAAGCAATACCTCCAGAATACACCTTTGCGATAATATAAGTATAATGTTCTCGACCCTTCGGCGATTACGCTGCCGGATGTGTAGCATTTGTCCTCGCATCCTCAACGCCTCAGGAAAAGGTCCCCTTTTGAGCCTCGAAGACGTCGTCATCAACTTAAGTCTCTCCGACATCTCCGGCTCAGATACTTCCTATCGGTACCCAAGCCGCTGTGGGTGTATTCCTGGCGACAGTTTTCATCATTTGAAGGCAGATATGGAATTCCACGCGAGGGGACTTGTGCAGATGATGAATAATCCACGTATTGTCAGGATTGTGTCACATACATTTCCGGGCCTGGACATGCATTCGTTTGATGCCCTAACGGGACGCCGAATGGTCCTTGCGTCCGCCGCGCCATGGGATGCAGATGGCGAAGAGGTGGAAGAGAGAGCCACAGCCGAAGATCTCTTCCATTCTGATTCTTCGACCGAAGAGTTCTTGCTATAGAGTCTCGGAGGTTGACTGGATATGATGAAATAGATACAGACAGCACAGAGAGTTCAGTATTGGCTCTAGTATTTTGGCCCTATCTAATGAAGTTGGACTTCTCCGTACACGGCAACGAGTTGCTCCCACGAAATATTAGCCCCGTAGATCAGGCTAGATACCAATCGCCCATCCCATAATGCGCGATGTGGGCGGCTATAGGTGCAACGATGAGTAATGTCGGCTTGTTTGGAGCCGAGAATCATAGAGAGTGTCGTTTTTCGCTCAACAGCCGGTGATGATCGTTGCGCCCTATTCACAAGCTCTTGCAAACAGTGGCGAGTAGCCTCCCTGAAGTCAAGAATGATTTGATTCTTTTCGTCCGGCAAGGCGGGAAATGTAATGAACTCTGGCGAGACAGCTAGACGCTCTAATGGGGCGGTCGCGCTCTGACTCCAGTCAATGACACCTGTCAAATTGTACTCGTCGTCGAAAAGAAGATTCCCATAATGAAGATCGAAGTGGCACAGGGGGAAAGGCCCATGAAGCCTGTCCTCAATAATGAAGTGAGAAATTGCTGTCTTCAAAATCCAGCAGGCGGTCCTCCATTCTGGGTCGTCGGCATGTGTCTCAAGAGCACGCCGATTTTCATCCTGTCTGAGCTCAAAGAACCACTCCAGCGATGTTTGGGTGCGTGGCGTGGTCGTAGCCTCATTGCCTTGCTCGCAAGGAATGATCCGGGGGGGCTCATCGCAGTTTTCTCCACACCAGAGTCGCCCAAGGTGATCAAAGGTCAAATTTTCAAGCTGGAACAGGACTTCTGCTAACTGCCGTGCAACGTGTTGTAGATACTCAGCAGGTACCTGGCGGGCAATAGTGGAGTCAAGAATCTGGCCGTTCAAACACTCCATGAGGATGTATGGAAAGCCAAACTCATTAGATGGCGAAGTATCGAAGTCGAAAACCATTGGAACTGGTATAGATGTACGGCTGTGGAGTGTTTTCATCGTTGCGATTTCACTCAGCATGTCCAAGGTGTGTTCGCGGGCATGAGACGAATCCACCGGGCTGTGTTGAACCCTGGCAATCCAATAGACGTTGTCGGAGAAGGCAACCTTCAACACCAGGTTGTTCATGCCGCACGTAAAAGACTTCGGATTAATGGTGCAGGTGATGCCTTTCGGTGCGTTTTCATCTCGAGCCTTGCGGGAGAGAAGCGCCACCTCTTGAAGGTATTTGAAGTTGGCTGCTTCTAGAACCGCATGGATTTGCTCGTGACTCCTGTTGCCGCCTGTGTCCAGGCTGTCTGGCGTAACCCAGTTTGAGCTCGGGGGCGTAGCTGGCATAATGAGTTGGTTCTTTACGTATTGGTATTGGGGTTGTTTCTCCGCCGAAGCAGGATGGAAGAAGAATTTCGTGGGTGTCTTAAGTAGTTGAGGCAAGTTGTATTATAGGGCAGCCGTAGATGGGGTAGAGAATAAGAAGAGGGTTCTCACGAAAGAAAAAAATAGTACTACCTAGTTAGTTAGTAACCTAATGAGTGATAAAGTATACACTATAGTATATACGGTTTTAGCTTATTATCTACGCCTTTATAGGGATGAAAAAGCACCTCTATAGTGAGCACGTCTCGTCCTCCACTATTTAGGTCCTTAGTAATATAGAGCACGATGTCCTCGTAATAAAGTGCTTTATGCAGCCGTATGACCCCCTTGTCTTCGTCCTATTTATCCGTAGTAGTCGGCTGACCGGGGTCCAGTTCGGGTGGAAGCATGTTGACATCTTCACTCTGGTTATGGCCGTACTCGGTGTCGCTCGTATCGTCGCTTTCTCCGTCGCCGTTTTCTCCATCACTGTTAAACACAGGATCGTGGAGATTATCGTTAAGACTAGAGCCAACATCGGATCCAGACTCGGGCTCGGGCTTGTAGCCTGGCTTGATGGTCGGCTCCCACTTCTAGTTTATTCTGCGGTTTAAAGTACATGATTTGCGGGGTAGCGACTTGCCACGCGCCACCATAACATCATCCGCTGCCGCCCGCTCGCTGCTCCCTTCATCCTCTACATTAGAATCATCCAGTATGGGGTCGCTAGCCCCTCTGTATTTTGTCCTGTCGATAAGTTCCGCCGGCCGGCATACTGTGTATGCTTAAAAAAGTATAATCACTAGAAGATTAATATAGTCGTCCTTAGTAGAGAACACACTTTAGTTATATAACTAATAATATATAAGACTTAGAAGAAGGTTATTTATACTTAAGATAGACTTAAGTCTAAGTTAATTATCTAGATTAAACTTAACCTTAAGTTTAGTACTAATATACTAGTAATATTAGTCTATAGTAGAGTAGATAGCTAGGTTCTAAGTTAGGCACCTTTCTAATCTCTTTATAATAGTTTAAGTTAATAATCTTATCTTTATTATAGTAATAATAAAGTATTTTAAAGTTATACTAATACTAGTTTATAGTCTTCTTTTTTAACCTCTTATATCTTTTTTAAAAATATATTTTATAAATCTAATAAAAGAATATTATAATAAATTCCTTATTATAATAGTATAACTATAATACTATTTACTAATACCTATATTTATTTATATTATAAAATCTAACTTTATTAGTACTAATATAATTATAAAAGATTATATTATATTAAATAATACACTTTATTAACCTTTTTTTAATATAATAAATATTTAATTTAATTATAGTTTTATTAAGTAGTTAAATAAACTAAGTACTATTTAATTACTATTATAGGGTATAATAGTCTTTAGTTATAAGTATATTCTTTTATACTTCTTTATATAATATAGTGTCTTAATAATACTACTTTATAGTCTTCTAAAGGGTATCTATAATATTTTTATAGATTACTATAGATAAAGAGGAAAACGAAGGAGAAAGGAAGACGGTTGAGTGAGCCAAGAAAGGATCACGACCTCAGCGTGAGCCAGTGATCCAGGTAGCACAGTAGAGGATAGGAAGGGTATATAGGGAAGGGGATTCCCAGTAGATAGCCAGACTAGATCTCTACTGATCAATCTAAGCAATAGTTCTACTATTGGGAGTAATCTCCTAAACGTGACTCAAGCTACGATACTGCTCATCTGCACCTGTGGTGCATTCAACCTGACTCACTTCCTAAGAAACAGATTTACTGTGGATTAGAGAAGAGCCACCGTTACAAAAGGCGAGAGGCAACAGCCAGGCGACTTCTTTTACATACGAGAGAGTAAGACTAGGTAGGCGGGGGTGTGCACGTAATGGTAGGGGAGGGGTGTGAGTCACACACCCACTAAAGATAGCAGCCGCCCCACTGGTTTTTCCTACTAAAGGCAGCGACATTTATTACCTAATTTAGTGGTTAAAACTAGTGTACTTAGCCTTTTAGTATAAATACTTATTACTTTATATTATAATTAAATATTATAGAGTAGAATCTACTTATATTAACACTAGTCTCAGAATATTAATGAACCTACTACGCTTTATCTTTTTTATTCTTATACCTCCCACTAAATTGTACATTAGTTATAGTCTTTTTTGCATTGTATCTAGACACTAGTATTATAAGAGCTTATAATAGACCATGCCGCACAGTGCAATGAAGTAGCCAAAAGCCTGTAGCCCCGTCACCGGTGTGCCCCAAATAGCCATGGAGGAGACGACTAGAATAATATCCTTAAGCACGCCGCATAAAGTTAGCACCACGGTAGATGTTTTGCCAATCTAGTAATGTTAGCAACGGCCCACAATCACAAACTGTACTTGATGGAAGACGTACTAGGAGCACCAGCGACACATTGAGCATAAAAGCACAGAGGCCGTTGAGGAAAAAGGTGAACAGGCCGACGTGCACGACCTCAGCCATGGCAACCTTGGGAACCTCCCAAAATAACGCAATCACGGCATTCATAGCTGCGCACACGGGCGCAAAGTAGTACAGCGACACGAGCGGATTCATCTTGAACTCGGCGGAGCTCAGAAGGCGCTGCACCATTGTCAGGCGCAGCGCCTCGAAAATAAGCCCAGCAACCTGGATGAGGAAACCAGCGAGGACAAAGTTGATCTCACCGAAAGATGCAATGATGACGCCTCCGACAATGATGGAGACATTGAGAAACTTTTTCGGATCCGGCTGCGACACACCGAGCGCCCAGCCGGCCAGCAGTACCGCCATGGGTGTCATTGCCTTTAGCATCTGGATGAAAGCGACCGAGAGGTAGAGATAGGCCAGGTTGCCACAGATGAGACTCAGACTGAAGAAGATGCCAATAGGTACGACGGCACGAATGTACACTTCGCGGGTCATTTTGCCGCTGCGCCGGCCGTCAAGAAGGGTTGTCCATCGCGCCAGCAGCTGGGTGATGACCGTGGCGAAGACGAGGTGGTACGTCGTAAGTATAACAGGATACCCTAGTTAACCCTTGTTAGCCCGAAGCTCATAGAATAGGAAGCCGTTCGACTTACGAAAGTTCAGAGTGTCTAGAATCCATTTATTAAAGAGAATGACCAACGAGCTAAACGAAATCCAGGCACTAGCCACAGCAGGGTCAGCCACAGGACGCTTGGCGTAACCGCGCATTATGTTGGCACTCACATCACATAAATTGCCTGTGGAATAGCTATGCTGGGAGCAGGCTTGGACCTTGGGGCACCACCGCTGTTGACGAGGGGCAGAGAAGCCTCCTCGTCGTGGCCGGATTCGCGTTCTTCTGTAGACATGGCGCCTTCTCCGGTGACAGAAGCCAGTTGAATAGCGTCCAATTATTGTTGTTTTTATTTTCAAGGAAAACAAAGATAGATGACTTCCAAAGAAGCACAAGAGAGCGGCCAACAGAGAGAGGAAAGAAAAGGAAGAACAAAAAAAAGTTTTGCGCGGCGAGGCTGTAGCAGGCAGTAAAATTAGCCAGCTCAACGTGCAGTAATCAGCCATAGGAAATCTGGGTTAAAGGGCTAAATGCAACCAAAAATGACACAATTTCATGCACCTTGCCCACTGACCTGTCCTCCACAGAGAGAGAGTGCCACACAGATCAGGCTGTAGTGTCGTGTTTGCGCCGTAATAATGGCCATTAATGGGTGGCCGATACGTTATAGTGTAACGCCGTGTAAGGCCAACCAATCGGATTACTCGCAAGCAAGTTGCGGACAACCCGCAGAAGCTGCAGGTGCTACCTGGTCAGCAGCTATAGCGAATCGCAGAATAATGGAAATACTATTGCTTGGCGAAATACCAGGATAGGCTTCCTTAGCAAGCACACCGACGAGTGCTTCTCGGTAACTTCCAGTTACTTATTCCTGTGCATCTCGTGACCGTCTTGCTCTTTTCTCACAGTCAACGGGACACTTGCGCAGCCGACATTGGGCTGACCCTCGCTCCCCAGTCGGCGAATATGCAGCACGGGTTTCAAGCGGCCCGAACCGCGGTGTCAACACAGAGGATTCACTTGTAGACTTCGGTCATCGGACTGATCTTATGCAGAAGTCACGACGTCCGAGTGGTTGAGAAGGTGGGTTTAGATACCGCAAAGGCTTAAAAAAACAATCCGCGCATAGAGACAGGTGCTTTGAACAGTACTGCAATAGCCTCCCTTTGGCACGCAGGCGTAATTCGGAGATGTGGAATTCCGAGAACAGTTGACAAGAACAATCACAAAACTTTATATATAGAAAGGAAGGTCTCGCTCATTATTGACAATCCAAAGTCCCTTTGTTGACCATCGCCTCGTTCCTTCGCGTCTATCTACGAGTTCTTCTTAACAACACTTTCAACATCTTTCGCACAGAACTCTGAAAGAAGACTTTTTCTGCTCTCGGGTCTCGCTCACATGTTATTTGCGGCAATTTTGGTCTTGCCTCAAAAGATTGCATTGAAGATCTCCGGACTTTGAACGCTGCTCCGCGTAACGGCCTCTCCAATTCTGTCATATGGTGGTGCAACGACGTAAGTGAATTTTGTTTCTCAACTCAACACAGAATGGCATCAAACTGACAGGTCTTTCATCAGAACAACTATCCGAAAACCCTCGACGGTTGGGACTGGATCGCTAACAGTGCTCAGACCATTGTGGGCGAATTGCGCTTCTGGTGCTAGCCGGGTTTCTGGCTGGAACTGTTAATTGGCAGATTAGTATCCGTAGTTAGGTCGGTAACGACTAGCGAACACTGGATGTTGTATGTTTTTATTTTTGTCCTTTTTACTTTTTTTTCTTCTTCTTTTTCTTTTGGCATCATCGGTCAATTTTGGTCAACTGCCACGAGCTTGACCAGGGACTGACGCAACACTGCAGTTCTGGCCTGCGGTAGCCGTTACTGGGACCTGCGTATCAACGGAGACTGATGCGTTCGGCCTCATGGGCTGATAAAACGAGAACCAGCAGGTGAATATCCTCCTAGCTCTGCGTAACCTGTTTCCCCTTGTCTCGACCTCGACGAGATTTCCGGAGTGATGACGAGCCCTTGTCAATCTGCATGTTTCCGGATAATCCCCATCTCTGCAAGGATCACGACGGCACGGCAAAGCAAGGACAACACGGGCTATCGACGGCTAGCGCTGTCAGTGATGGGATGGCTGTCCCGCGACTCTGCGAGGTTGAACTTTGATGCCGCATACGCCGAATGAGGGAACGCTAAACACAAGGCAATCGGTACGGACCCCAATCGGATCAAGGCATGACTTCTGGTGCGTCAGCGGGTAGTGCTGCGAGGTGATGAAAACGATGTTCGCGGTTTCTCGCCACGTGCCTCTCCTCCCAAATACGACATGCCGCGGCATGCCGCGGCAACATGATGCGGTAGTTGAAAAGATTCGGGGGCTCGGAGCACGACTGGGCCAAGACGGACAATGAAATGGCAATTTGAATCATGGTCTGATCTAGTTACCGCTCAATGCCATTACGGTGTTCCCCTGTCAAGCTACCTGGTTACCCACGCAACCCGCGCATCGGCCGATAGGGCAGCGGGATTGTGCGTCCGTCCACTGACATCCGCCCCCTACACCGTTTTCAAAAGACAAAGTCGCTGCAGGCCTTGTTGGCAAGTTTTCCTTCGGGACGGGACTTTGACATTCTCTCCGCGCATGAGCTAGCGACTAGCAGTTGGCCGTCTGGCCGGATCCGGCGACCAGGAGCAAGGCAACGCGGAATATCACGTCACTAGCTACGCCGGCGTGAAAATGCTCCGGATAGCGTCCGATATCTGCATGGCTGATTGGAGAAAACTGTGAGGCTCTTCCACATGTCACTTGGTGCTAATGTGTTGGCAAGCAGAGGACGCTGGCGGCGTGTAAGTCGTTGACCTCGAGCAACCAGTGGTGGTACTAGAGAGGTGGCTGCACTCGCGAGATTCCACTTGCGAACTCAGCCCAATCTCGGCAATTGTATTGTTGTGCATTTTGAATTTGTCGTGCCTGCCTCGTATTTGGAAAAAAAAAATGCGAGGAACAGGGCCTGTCTGTGCTTTACTGCGTGTGTGGCGCGACGATGGCTCAATGGCCAACAGCCAAAAAAAAAAAGAAAAAAAATTAGGCTGGTTTTGTACATTCCGATCATGGCATAGAGGGAAGGGAACTAGCTCGAAATGCGAAAGTTGCCCAGTGTTGGACGGGGAAGTCCAGTGTTGGACGGGGAAAAGGAAAGGTCGATGGCTTTCCCCTCTTTACTGGCCGGACCCCGGAAACGAAATTGCGCTGAGCAGCTTAGTTACCTCGAAGGTTGACCTGGTCTAATAACGGCCTGGCCCTGTGGCTTGGTTTTGTTCTTGCAAGTGCCAACTCTGTCAACCAACAGTCTCCATTGTTCGTCACACACAAGCGACAAGGCCAAAAGACTAGCCAGCCAGTAGAAGAGGGCAAGAACCGCGACTGACGCATTAATTCATCAACGGCTCGAAAATCTCGCATCGCAGAATCAACAAGGCTTGCGATTACACCATCGGCCGGATACGACAAGCCGCGAGCGGGCATGTGCCTAGCGTGGGATGCCGATCTGAGACAAGACACCAACCGAGAGAGCAGAGGAAATGAAGTTGCTGCTGTCTGTCCACCACCACCACACCACAGCCCATTCATTGCCGATCGAATGACTGCGCTCGGTGGATCGTCTTTCTCGTTGCCCATTTCCCATCCCATCACACTTCGCTTCCCAGCGCCTTCCTCCATCCGTCCATGGGCAAACGTTCGATCAAACCTTAAAAAATCAAGGCCCTGGTCCCGCCCACTCTGGGGGCGCTGCCCACCGATTTCAGCTGTCTTGGGAATCGAATGGCCAAGGGGAGGGAACTTGTGAGTGGTGTGCGAGAGGGATTTGTCCTTTATCTCAAGCCGCTCCGCCTCAAGAATGCGGCTGATGAGTGAATCCCGGGTTTCTGCTTTCTCTGCCCTCTCTCCTTTCTCTTGTCGTGTAAACGGGAACGAGAGAAAAAAGCGACGAGCTGCGGATTAGACGCGGGCTGCCATTGAAAAGCCATCATGGGTCGGGCCATGTACTGGATGTGGCTGCTGTCTCTTGTGGCGCTCAAGGTCGCAGCGCAGTCGACGCTGTGCTCGACGAGCAACACGGCATCTTCAGGACCGAGTGCGTATACATTTCCCAAAATGGGACAAGAAAATAGGAACTGAGTTGACACGAAAAAATTACACAGACTCCAACGTTTACCAGTCGAAATCGGCTTGCGTAAACATCTGCAAGGGCCAGACGGCGTACGCGGTGGTGCAGTACGACAAGTGCTGGTGCAGCAACAAGACGCCGAGCTCCACGACGGACGGCGGCAACTGCAACAAGCCGTGCCCAGGCTATCCGCCCGAGAAGTGCGGTGGTGACAGCGAGTACGCTTACGTGCTGCTGGACAAGAGCAAGATTGAGGCCGCCGCCGCGGCGTCTCCATCCCCGTCTCCACCGCCGCCGTCCTCTCCGCCGCCGCCGTCCTCTCCGTCCTCGGCGCCGTCATCACAGCCGCAGCAGCAGCAGCAGCAGCAGCAGCAGCAAGATTCACCGTCGCCGAGTCCTGCGCCGCATGATTCGGCGCCGGCGTCGCAGCAGCCTCCGCCTGCGCCCCAGATCATCACCATCACCCAGGTATGCCACGCAGCGTTCTTGTTGACACTGGATCTCGACTAAAACACGGTGCGATAGACGAACGACCAAGGCTCCAAGACAATCATCAAGACGGTGCAGGTGTCGCCGTCCGTGGTGGAGGACAAGCCCGCGACTCTGCGCACCGTCACCGTCACCGGCACGTTGGCGGTGGTGTCGACCGAAGCCGACGCACCCAGCAGCGTCATCAAGACGCCCTCCTCTGCAACAGCCGAGAGCGGCGGCAGCGCCAGCGCCAGCGCCAGCAGCACCAACGTCCTCGCCAGCAGCAGCGTCGGCGGCGGCAACACTGGGCTGAAGCAGGCCACCGTCGCGGGCATTGCGGTCGGCGGGTCGGCGGCCGGCGTCTTCGCGGGGCTGATCGCGTTCATACTCTGGCGGCGCTACAAGTACGGCGGGGCCGAGGACCGGCGAGCGGCGGCGGAGGGGGGCGCGGGAGGTGATGAGGGTTATTTTGGGGCGACGTCGGCGACGACGATCCGGAGGGACAACACGAGCGCGTCGGAGGACTCGCGGATGGGGGCGTTTGGGCAAAACAAGCACCTGTGCAGGAACAGCACAGGGAGTCTGGAGGACATGTCGGCGGAGATGAATCAGGTGCTGCGGGTGGTGAACCCGGACATGCCGGAGAAGATGTAGCAGAAGAAATGCATTCATCCATTCACTAAGAAGTCATGTTGCCACTGGTCGTGAGTTGGGATGAGTGAGCTGTAGAGACAATGAGAGGATGAAGGAGGCGCACAAGACAAGTAACACGAAGGAATTTTCTTATTTTCTTATTTTTTTTTTTTTCAAAAAAATAATAATCATGATGACAATAGAAAGAGTCGTCAGCATTCAAAGAACGGGATAGAAATGAAACAGGCAAAATGTTGTCGTGCCGTATGCTATCGGCACATTGTTGACAGCCGCAAGGTAAGGCGTCGACCGGTCTACGCTTTGGGTTCGGTAACTCGCAACCGGACAGCAAGTACGAGTCTAAGTTATTGGCAGGACTGAAGATGCGATACTCTAGAAGCGGCTCTGCCGCCTTCGTTCAATCAACCCGGGCTCTGTTGACAACACCGGCCGAGTTCTGTCTGCTGAGGCCACCGACGCGATCGGAGAACCGGTGTCGGGCCAACTCACCGCCGGTGAAAGGGCGGCAACACCACATCCAAGAGTAACAAAACCGGTGAGGCGATGGCGTTACGGTCCGAAGGCACGCCGTCGGCACGGACTACCCGGAGCGCCCGTTCGTCATCATCGCCTCTGCCTACAGCGTGCACTCAAAGTTGGCGGCCTCGGGTACCACCATCACGCAGCAAGGAGGACGGGCCGGGCGAAAGGTTACCAAGCGGCGACCGATCGCGAAATGCGCGCCGTTGTGGGCCGTTTTGATGATGGCACAAAAAAAAAACCTAGCCATAGTGATCTGCTGGGAGAGGAGATGCTTTTTTTTTTTTTTCTTCATGAGTAAATGTATGTATCTGTGTACGTTGGGGGCCGGTGACTTGGCGTTGTGGCTACGTATTCGTGACCGCTGGGTTAGGTGGCCCAGCAGACGGAATTTGCAGCATCGATCACATGCCAAAAAAAAAATTAAAAAAAAAAAATAAAAAGAAGAGGACAGAGAAACGTGTTTTGTTTCTTGTTCTTATCTTGGTTTTGGCGTTTCATCTGATCTCGTCAACTGTCCGTCGGTCAATACTGACTCGCAAAGTCCGTGAGCCCACTTTCACCGGGCCTGGCTTACAGCATAGTCCCTATTGCCGAGGCAATAGCCGCCATCTCATCCGTGTAATCAACAAGACTCGAGAATCGGGGCGATGAGCAAACTGGTAGAAATACGATTCTAATGTTGAAATATTGGTAAATTATCTGCGTCTTCGTCATGTACTATGTACAAGCGTTCAACCGTATTAGCCACCGCTCAAGGTGGGTGGTGTGAAACAAGAACAAGTATGCTGTGGTTCTCATGGTATCGTAGTCGTCGCACGGAACAATGAAAGAAAAACTCGCCAAAAAAAAAACTCCCTTTGCGCAATCCCAAATAAGCAAAGTTCAACACAGAATTCCATTACAGCGCTACTGCCAGGACGCTCGACAGCAGGCTGACGAGCAGCACCGGCTTGGCCGCGCCGAGCAGTGCTGCCGCCGTGGCGCCGCTGCTGGCGTTGACGACGGCGCCGCGGCTGCCCTTGGTCACCTTGCTCGGCGCCAGGCACAGCAGCTTGGACTGCGCGCCGCCGCCGCCGCCCGTCGTGGAGTTGCCGCCGAGCCTGGCGGTGACCAGGATCGGCGCCGGCCGCTGGATGTGCTCCGCGTAGGCGGCGAAGGAGGCGCGGCTGTCGTCGCTGTCGCGCAGCTGGCCCGAGGCAAAGGTGACGTAGCTCCGGTAGCCGTCCGGGATGGCCTCGGAGTCGGGGATGGTGGCGTTGGTCGAGCACAGCGTGCCGTTGAAGAGGAGGGGCGTTGCGGTGGCTGCTTTCGGTGTTAGAGGAACCCGCGTGGAAGCTTTTCGAAGGGCGACAACACGATACGTACATGCGACAATCTCGGCGCCGTCGCCGCAGGCCGCGGACACGTCCGGCACGGGACAGCTCCCGTCGCCTGCTGCCGGCGCCTGCACGCTCTCCAGGGCCTTGACACAGGCATCGCTCAGGACGCCATCGCACGAGGCCTGCTCGTCGGCGGTGGCGTTTTGCTGCCGCAGGCGGTACACGCACAGGCTGGTCTGGCGGCCGGCGGCGCTGCCGGGGAAGGTCTCGGGCACGCTGACGATGACGTCGAGCGACTGGCGGGTCAGCTCCAGGCCGTAGATGGCGTTCTTCTCGCGCTCGTCGCGGAAGCCCAGCGCCAGGTACCACGGGTCGGAGGCGGTGGTGACGGGGAGGCGGGCCTCGCCGGTCGAGTTGAAGATGGGCTGGCCGGCGGCGAGGGAGCGCACGGCGGAGGGGCAGCCGTCGAGAGGGTCGTTGAGGTCGACGGCGGCGGCGAGGGGAGTCAGCGCGGCGGCGGCGGCGAGGGCGAGGAGTGATGTGCGTGAAGGCATGACTGTGGGATGTATGTGTAAGACGATGTGTAGATAGGTAGCTAGCTGCAAGTGTGCGAGTGTTGCACTTGGCGATGGGATGAAATACGGATACAATTAATAGACAACAAGGCAGATAATTATCCGGCGACAGCCTCGAGGGCGGGTCGGCAGGGCCATCTATATAATCACATCACATTGATTATGAGTTTTTTCGTCACCCGACTCTGCTGCCGCGCAGGTGGCCCTCGGAGCAGTGGTCATGCCGCCGTCCCCGTCCCGGTTCCCTTGTTTTATCATCGCGGCCGGGGGGTCCTTGCACCAGCCGGGCCCAGGATTAGACGACTACTTTTAGTTACACCTCAGCTAGCTAGCAGCTCAACAAAGTCAGACCCTTCAATTAACTGGATCTCTGGCTGGGTCCGTCACATGCAATTACCAACAACCAAGCTAGAAGCCTACCTAGAAGGGCCAAAAGTCATGCCACAGGGACTAGCGTGAAAGGGCTCTTTGTCTCTGCCTTCTTTTGGCGAGGTGGTCAGCCCGTGCGGACAGTGTGGCGGGTCATTTGTTTCCATCTTTGGCTTGGGGGTATCACATGGTAACAGTGCACATAGTGCATTGTTGAGCTGTCTGAATCAAGTGCTTTTGTCTTCAACAAGTGCTGTTGGTTTGCAGCGCTTTGATCGTTTTAGACCTGTCATAGGAAAACAGCACAAGTTTCACATCTCTGAATTGAAATTCTCAGGATTCCTTTCCGCTTTCTCAACTGTCACGGATCAGCGCGATTGCCGGTTATCAAAAGCCCCCTGCAAGCCACGATACAGCAGCAGGTGGCGTAATTGGCTGCACCGGGGCCAGCCGCCGAGCCTCATCATCAACAGTAATCAGTGAGTGAGAGAGGGACAGCACGGTTTCGTCCCTCATCCCTCCGTATCTGAAGCCTCATTCGTCATCGACCGAGTCCTTTGCGATGTCGTTCCACAGGCAAACCTGCGTCTGGTCGTTGACAAGACTTTTCCAAGAATACAAATCTGTTGCGCAAAACTTATCCTTCACGGAGGGGCCGGCGGCGACCGAGTCGGATTTTGTCGCTCTTGAGATGATGCCTCACGCGCAATTGACTCGCGCAGGGGCATATAGCCGACACGCTTCCACCTTTCTAGTAAGTTACATAAAAGTAGTTGGGAAATCGCGCACAAGGTCATGGTGAATCTGCCTGACGAAAAGATGTGATATCGTTATTCTCTGCTCCTGAAATTTGTTTTCTCATCATTCTTCACCAAAAGGTAGAGACCAGACCCCTGAATTCAACGCCCACCAATAATTGCGTTGAGAATTCTCAACTCACAACCTAAACACTCAAACATAAATAGATTACTGTCAACATTGAATCTATGTAAACAAGGACAGCTATCTAGACATGTAGAACCCATTTGTGGCTTACCCACTGACGAGGACAGTGCGCTCATCTGATAAAAAAAATCGAAGCATGTGATAGCTCCCGTTGCGCCACCTTTGCCCTGATGCTGCGATCTGCAGGAACACGTGCGGGTAGCAGGTTGTCAAATTCTAGCGCGTTTCTCTCTTCGGAAAGATTTTATCCCAAAAATTCCGCTTCGGTTGTGATGTATGCGATGCGCATGCAATAACCGGCAATTTTCGAGTCGCCTTGGCGCCGACCCTTGGCTTTTGCCGCCGCTGCGTCGTAGCGGGCGCACATTTGACAGACAAGCATGTGCCTGCCAGTGACGTCGATATTCGTACGCGTTTGTTGACTTTCTTCTGTACTGGTTGTTCTTCACAAGCCAGCGTCTTAACATTCTGGGCCAACAGAGGGCTTGATGGCCACGTCAATCTTGACTCTTGTAGAGTGTGCTGGCAAACTTGGAAAACTTGCTCATCACCGATAGACGGCTCGAGCTGCCACTGTCCCGTAGCTGGCCGGAGCTGGCACGCGGGAGAGACGAGGAGCCAGATCGTCTTCGTAGTTGGCGAGTCAGCGCCTGGAGTCGTTGTCGGAGAGAGGCGCCGTCGCTGCCCGCGCCGCCTGGACTGCACGCTGCCGAGAAGCGACGATCGGTCTTTGAGAGTGTTTCCTCTTGCGGGAACTGCCAGTCTTGCCAACTGAGCTCCGAACGATCGGCCGTCGAATAGTCCGCCGTGCGACGGTCGGTGTTGCGGCTGGGGATCCGGATCATGAGAGACATGCTGGTTTGTGTGAGGCGGTGGTAGTGTGTCGAAAGGTGTCGGTATGGGTTGGATACTTCGAGGTATCAAGGGACAAGTCTGGCGCTGGTATTTATATCCAGGAACCGCATTCGGGAGGTGGCGAGCAGCAGCTGTGATGGTTCCGGTCGAGGCCGTGACTGGAATGCTGTCATCTGAGACACAGCGTGGACGGGCTCAGCTCGGTGCTGCACACTAAAAATAGGACGGACCCTTGAGGAATTCTGGTTTAGCTACAGAGAACCCTTACAGCTCAGAGCTGTAGAGAGGCGTCCTCTTTCAGCTGCGGCAACCCCGAAGGCCCATTCCTGTGCCATGTGGCGTCGCGCGATGAGGGCATCACGAGGCGGCACTGTTTTGACAGTAGGTTTAAAGTGACAGCACAGTTTTTGCTGGCCTTTTATGGAGTAGCAATTAAAAACAACTGAGATATGATTTGTCAAGTCGTCCTGGATGACTGCACTCGGTTGCGGATTGCGACCGGAAGATGAAGAGGTGTCAAGTTGCGTATACTTGGCTGTAGAAAACCAACATACCGACCGACCACTACATAGAATGCGACCAATACTCGCAAAACTATTAATGTTATTACGCATTTAAAAAGAATTCTCAGCGACATGTTTTGTCTTGCTCTGCGTTCACCGTATGCTTCAGTGCTGATTACAGCATCGTAGGCGACGACGCAGCTACAGGGTAGTTGGCCAAGTTGCTATTCAACCACGATGGAGTCACTACTGTGTCGCGATTTGGATGAATCCATAAAACCAATCCATTGATACAGTGTCATGGATTCCTTTCTTCATTTCGTCTCTGTGTCTTGCTTCGTCCATCCATCCGCTCGCCCGCGCAACCTCCTGTCACCGCCGCCTCCGGTCCTCGTCGTCATCGGAACGGCCTCCAAAAGTACGTGCCGCCCCGCGGCCCATGCCGAGGAGCCAAGCCCGCAGCGTCGAGCCGTTTTACCCGTCCTTCTTCCCCCCAAACACGAAAGCCGACGACATTAACCGCCCAGACGAATCGATTCAAGTTCAATAAAAAAAGCCTCTACATATCTTAAAGAGGAGCCCGGTCGCCGTCCCTCCCGTCCCTCCCGTCCCTCCCTCCTGTCTTTCCCATGTCCCCCAGGACGAACCGATCGCGCACCACCACCGACGACGACATGGCCACGAAGCTCTCCCCGGCGCTCAAGGCGCTCATCAACGCGCCCGCCGCCCGCCCGGGCCCTTGCCCGGCACCGCCCGGAATCCGCGCCGTCTACGCGCGCATCGCCCACGACGCCGCCTCGCGCAACCTCGGCCCCCGGCCCTGGGTCGTCCTCTCCGTCCGCCTCCCCCCCCCTCCCCTCCCCTCCCTCCTCCGGTTCCTCAACTAACTCCCTCCCAGGCCGCCGCCACGTTCACGCTCAACTCACCCGACTCCCTCCCCGCCCTGCACTCCCTCGCCTCCGCCTCCTCCTCCTCCTCCTCCTCACTACCTCCCGTCGCCGCCGCCGAGCTCATCCGCGAAGTCGGCCTCAAGTGCATCTCCTTCAACGGCATCCCGCGCACCATCAACTGCCTCAACGCATTCCGCTCTTCCCTCCCGCCCTCCGTGACCTCCGACTTAGGCACCGCCCCGTCCCGGACCCCCTCCCCTGCGGCCTTGGACGCCACGACCGCACGCGGCCGTGCGCTCTGGGACTCCATATACGCGCCATTCGAGACCAAACTGTACGAGAAGCTGGCGCTCGCACACCCGGACTTGCCGGTGCACATCCTCCACAGCCACTACGCGGCGCTGCTATCCGATCCCCCCAGCCACCCGGGCGGGCTGGGGAGGGTGCTGACGAGCGTGGTGGCGGTGGCGTGCCTGCGCGCGCAGACGGGCGTAGGGCCGCAGGTGCTGTCGCACGTGTTCGGCCTGCGCAAGGCGTTTAGTGACGGGACGTACGAGCAGGACGGGATGCAGGGCGAGGAGCTGGAGGGCGCGAGGTGGTTGGCGGGGGATGAAGGCTGCGAGTGGCTGCTAAAGTCGGTGGACGACATCGCGGCGGCGCTGGGCGGGAGCAACTTTGCGCAGGCGTCGAAGCTGTAGGGGCATCGGAGGATGGAGTATGTTGTCGCTGATGATGATGCTGAGAGGGAGTTTATGTACATGATTGTAGAGAACGTCATATATTTTATAGAGAATAGACAGTTATGCGGACAGTGAGGTTTCACCCAATGTGCTTCTTCCGGTCTATTTTTATCGATGTCTTGTCTATGAATTTTAAAGGCCAAATCTATCATGATACGCAACTACTCAATCTGCTCCATCTACTGCATCTCCTTTAGGTCCTTGGACACCGTAAACGTGGCGTCCGTTTTGCTCTTAATCTCATCCACCGTCACGCCCGGCGCCAACTCCGTCAGGGTCAGCCCGCCAGCTTTGCGGTCTACCTGGAAGACGCACTAGAAAACAAAAATTAGTCAAGCAACACTTTCCAGGCCTTTTGCGGTAGACTTACGAGGTCGGTAATAATGGTGCTGACGACGCGTGCGCCGGTCAGCGGCAGGCTGCAGTCCTGCACAATCTTGGGCGACCCGTCCTTGGCGACGTGCTCGGTCGCCACGACAATCTTGGTCTTGTCCGGGTTGGCGACCAGGTCCATGGCGCCGCCCATGCCCTTGAAGACCTTGCCGGGGATCATGTAATTGGCGAGGTCGCCCGCGGCGCTCACCTGCAGGGCCTGCGAGTTCCGTTAGCACGATGAAGACACAATAAAGTTGAAGGTGGACCGGGTTGACCTACTCCGAGAATCGAGACATCAACGTGGCCTCCGCGGATCATGCCAAACGATTCGGAGGAGTCAAAGCACGAAGCGCCAGGGACCATGGTAACCGTTTCCTTGCCCGCATTGACAACATCACTGCGACAAAACTCGGTTAGAATGCACATGATAACCAAGATGGCGCGTCAACATACCCGTCAACCTCGTCTTTCGTGGGATACGGCCCCATTCCGAGCATTCCGTTCTCGCTCTGCAGCCAGACGGTGCGGCCCTCAGGGATATAATTCGCCGCGAGCGTGGGGATGCCCACCCCGAGGTTCACATAGAAGCCCTCCTGCAGCTCCTGCGAAGCGCGCTTACCGATGCGATCGCGACGCACCTGGTGCTCGCTCTGCTCGCTCGAGCCGCCGGTCTGGGCCTCTTGGATCTTGAGAATCTCAATCTTCTTCTCTGCTGTTGCAGGCACGACGCGGTCGACAAAGATGCCGGGGAGGTCGACGTCGTCGGGGTTAATCTCGCCAATCTCGACAATGTTCTCAGCCTCGACAATGGTCAGCTTGGCGGCCTTGGCCATGAGCACGCCGTAGGCCTTGGTGGTGTAGCTGCAGCGCGAGTCAGATGCTGTATGTGGATTGTGGGCTCAGATTGGAGTACTTACCGGAAGACGCAGTTGCCTGCCTTGTCTGCCTTGTAGGCTCTCAGTATCGCCACGTCACCGGGAAGTGAGGTTTCCATGAGAAACGTCTTGCCGTCGAACTCGCGTGTCTCGCGCTTGGTGCCTCGCTCGAGCGCCTTGCCGCCGGGACCGAGCCGGATCGGGATTTCGCCATCCTGGACAAGAGTATCTGCCCAATGTCAGAGCCGAGTTTCCTCAATGGCACAAGTAGAAAGACTTACTGGCACCGGTGCGAGTGAAGAAGGCAGGGATGCCAGCACCGGCGGCTCGGATGCGCTCAGCCAAGGATCCTTGGGGGCACAGTTCGACAGCAATATCGCCATTCAAGTAGCCTTTTTCCAGTGTTTTGTTATTTCCGAGATATGATAGGGTCAGTTTATCTACCTGACCGCTGCTTATAAGCAGCGACAGGCCGCCTTTCCCCTCGATACCAGCATTGTTGGACACGGCGGAGAGCGAATGCAACGAATCCTTGCCTCGTCGGTGAAGAGCTTCGATGAGAGTTTCTTTGGCCCAAGTCGTCAGTAACTAGAGAGTACATGTGGTAGGTGAGGCATTAGGATATACCTGCGACGCCGCATAGCCCAAAGCCAGCGCTGAGGACCGTCGCGCCACTCTTGACATCTGCTACGGCATGGTCGGCACTGTCCCACAGTTTTGAGTAGGCGGCAGGCTTCTTTTGCGAGAGCAGTGTCGTCGTCGTGATAAAGGTTCGACGATGATGCGTCTGAGCCTGTGTTTTCAGGAAAGTGGCCCTGCCAAGAGGTGCAATTGACCTGCGTAGGGTGATTCGCGCCACAATTGGTCGCATTGCGGATGCCATGGTTGTGATGCAGGATGGCTGGTATGAAAAAGGAACGTAGGGAAGGAAATTCAAAGAGAATCTAGGAGCAATTCAGGACACGAAATGAGATGGAGACGAGCCAGACTTTTTGAAGGTTTTATCATACGAGTAATGAGATACGAGCCAGCAATCGCAGCGGCGTGGCCACGGAGCTTAATCTAAGACCGGCGGAGACCGGCGGAAGCTTGGCCTATGACGTGGTGACTGGAAGTGGTCGGTGCGGCGGTCAAAAATGGTTGCCGGTGAGCAGTCCAGGAGGGTCGGAGCGATGTTCGCGAACGCCATCACGGAGTGAAGACGGGGGTAAAAAAACAAAGAATTCCTCGGTAAAAGTGCATTGGAGTAGGGAAGAGCCGGCGAGGGGCCGCTCCGGGGTGGTCGGATGCCGTAATGTGGCTTTCGGGGGGAAGGCCGGGCTGGTGCGGGCTGCATATGCGCTCGCCGGACTGCATAAGGCCGGATGCATCGGGAAACAAAGCGATATCTTTTCAGGGAAACATGATTGGATGAGGGCATCTGGTCGGGAACAGGCCGTTGAGGTCGACGGGAGAATGGTTCTTAGCGTCTTGCTGCATCGGAGGTTTGGCGGCTGGGAAGCTTTGCTTCAGCCGAGTTCTGCGGTGCGGCGAGCGATGGCCGGCAAGCTACTGACCATGATGAAGACGCTGGAAAGGGACCACACCTGCGCCTCTCGACTTCCCTGCAAAGTCGACTGACTGTTTGGTTTTATGCAGTCCAAGTACATGGCGCATGGATCTGATTGGGTACATGAGGCTGTGACCCTCGGTAAGATTGTCCCGGTGAAATTACAGGGTCAGCATGCTCGGTAATCTGAACGCCTGATGTTTATATTGAAAACAATATTTAGACGGAGGCGGCAGATTCCAGGATCATATTTGCTAGGGTCGGTGTTGTCGTGGGTGCACAAGAAGCAAGCATCGCTTCCAGAGGTGACGACTTGCCACATCGCTAGCTGGATGGCCCAAGGTTTTCAGTAGGAGCGAGCACACGGGTGTTTGTGCTGCTTGTGCCGGTCGGCTCGACAGGTTTGCCTCCTAGTTATTTCATACATGACGATGCGCAGACAGGGCATGAAACGATAGGAGCGAGTGATGCCAGCCACGATGTTGCTGGGGATCCTGGGGTTGGTCACTATATTTAGCGTAGCAGGGCATCGGAAGTCTGAAGTAGTTAGCGCCAGAGGAGGTGCAGAGCCCTGTCGAGCTGGCCTGGCACTGCTTTAGGGGGGGTTAGGGGGGAGCTAACCGCTGGACGGGAGGCCGGGTCACGCTGCAGTGACGCTACAGGTGGTTTCACCACTGGGGTTGGAAAATTTACAGGGAATGGTACGGGGGGGTTACAGGGCTGCGCTACACGGGGCCTCTTGGCGGCGATCCGAGCCTGGGATGAGGCATGGTGTAAGTGGAAAGACCATCGCAGGCAGAGAATAGAAAAAAGGGTAGAATAAATGGAAAATGTCAACTGAATGATAGTACGAGAAAGACAGGAGTCAAAGCGAAATTAATCAAGACAGAATGCGCCATGTTTCTGCACTGGAACGTAACATCTGGCGTAGGCTCCAACGCTAACAGGGGACGGCACCTGTGCTGGAAGTGCTGACTTACTTGACTCTTGGCTGCATTCTCTGCAGGTAGAGCGGGCGCGTATTTATTTTGCTGTTAGTTGTGTCCCGATTTCCATTAAGCATAATTATTACATAGAAAAATTCATAGAAGACCGCTGTCTTGGGAGAGGAACTATCGGGGCTGGGGAACCATCATCGCCTTGGCCGGGGAATGAAAGGAAAGTTAAATGTGCTGGCCGGTACCCTTAAAGTACTGATTCGATAGCCACCACCAGTGCGGACGGCCTAGGCCCACTTCATGTACTTGGATGATACTTACGCTCTGCCCTACGGATGGTAGGTGGAGTCATGGGCTCTGGGCGGCTCCTTCCCTTTCAATCTGCCTGCTGCTGCCTTTTTGCCCTCACGAGGCGGCCCCAATCTGTCTATCCATCCAGCCAGCCAGCCACCCCAGAAGCGAAACCTTGCTTGATTTTAGTCGACTTCTTCTCTCTCCCACCGATAAATTCCGTCACGACGCTCGTCGTTGCCGACCGTTGCCAAACGTCTAACGTCTCTCTCCTCACATCAATTCCAATTCTCGCTGCCGCACCCGCCTCTCGACACCACCAATCTCAATCACCTCGGAGCCACCCGCTCAAAAAATTCCAGCCACGCCCGGCCCGTCGTCAACACCTCCCGTTTGTCGCATCTACGCCCTTCTTCCGCCGCACGCTATTCATTCCCAGCGCCTCCCGGCCTCAGCCTCCCGCCTTACCTGCGGTCCGTCTTGTCGTTGTCGTATGCCGTCGCCCTGAATACTTCATCCTTCGCTCTCGAACGCAATCTCCTGGGCAAAAACACCACATCCCGTCCGACTTCGCACCTGTGCGCCGCTGCTGTAATCTCCACCAGGCATACAAGACCGCCGCCTTTGCCAAGCTATGACAGGCCTCTCGACATCGTCGAACTCTGCCAACGATGAACCCGATGCCAACCGCCCTCGCCATGAGCGGCCGCTCTCCAATGTTTCTCTGCAGCCCGCCATACTGCTAGATGCGTCTCAATCCACCCCGATTCCCGTGTCTCGACACGCAAACTTGGCGCCGCCCTCGCCCTCGCAGATGCAAGTCTCGCCGATCGATCGCGCCCATTCGCCGTCGCGCCGCCATGGATATTTCACGGATTCCTCGGCCAATGCGCTCAGGATTTCCACTGACGTCCTTTCAACATCGCCTGGCGTGTCCTCCTTCCCCAGCTATCGCGATGTCATGGCTCCAAATAACCGCAACCTTTCACCCAAGCGAAATCCTTTGAACAGGACCACCTCTGCCAATTCTTTGCAACTTGCGCGCACTCCCAGTCTTAAAGCTGCTCTGACGGGCGCCTTTACCTCGTCGAACGGCTCTAGTAGCAGCATCTCCAGTCCTGTTATCAACGCCATGGGCGACGTCACCCCGTTGCCCAGTCCTCTCATGTCATCCGATTCCCCTGGGCCTTGGAAGCGTCTGAATCTAGACGCAGCCTCTCCGCCTCCATACCGAGGCAAGGTTGACTTGATTTGCCAACCTGTTTCGCCCACATCAACCTCCTTCAACCCCCAGCCTCCTTCTACATCCCCCAAGCGCAAGCCTTACATCATTGAGCCGCAAGACTCGACACTGGCGTCGGCGCAGCCTGCAACTTCCGCCACTCGAAAGCTACATCACACGAGGAACCGCAGCGTCAGCGAGTATGTGCCCGATCCCATCTCGATCCAGAAGCGTCCCGTCGTCGTTTCAGGCACTCACTCCAGAAGAGACGGCACCGAGCATGCTGATGCTGGCCTTCGACGCGAGTCTCACTTGGCCGAGTCGCGCGGCCTTACTCCCACCGTCACCAAGCCCCCTACGCCCCCTCCTAGTGCGTCGTCCAAAGATTCTATGGACAGCCCGGTCAAGACGGAGGATCCGTCATTTGAGTACTTCAAGGCACGGAGCCGCAGTGATCACAAAAACCGTCGCTGGAGATCTCTTGGGTTTCTGGGCCGGGGCACGTTTAGTCGAGTGATGCTCGCAACCAGCCAGATTGTGCCTGATGGCGACGGTCCAGAGATGCTGACAGGTACACCAGCCGGATGCCGCCTGGATCGCAAAACTCTGGTGGCAGTCAAGGTATGCGAGCATGGCCCAATGGGCGGTGCAAGCGAGGACCGCGTTGAGATGAGCCTTAAGCGAGAACTCGAGATCATGCAAGCCATACACCACCCCTCGCTTCTCGACCTGAAGGCCTGGAGCATCGAGCCAACACGTGCAATCTTGGTAATGAGCTTTTGTCCTGGTGGCGATCTCTTTGATGTGACAACGACACATCGCAAGAGCTTGACTTCTCCTCTGATGGGCCGCATTGTCGCGGAGCTCGTCTCTGCTCTGCAGTATTTACATGAACAGAACATTGTCCATCGTGACATTAAGCTGGAAAACGTTCTCGTCAATACCCCCCCGACGGAACTTGCTGGCACAAACATCAACTGGTCAACATATCCTCACTCGATCGTTGCCCTCGCTGATTTTGGCCTTTCTCGTCGTTTCACGCCGGGCGAGCCACTAGAGACGCGGTGCGGCTCCGACGATTATGCCGCGCCCGAGGTCATCCTGGGACAGCCCTACGATGGCAGAGCCACAGATGCCTGGTCCCTCGGTGTACTCCTGTACGCCCTTCTTGAGGCCCGACTTCCTTTTGATCCCCATCCCGCTATGAGCGATGCCCACCGCATGCGTAGTCGCACTAGCCATCGCATCGCAAGAGTCGAGTGGCGCTGGCTCGAGTACGCGGGCGACGACGGAGATCATGACGGCGACGAGGCCAAGTTTGTGCGAACCGGCCTCCTCGGCGCCATGCACATCGTTGAAGGGCTACTGCGACGCGCTCGCAACCGCTGGACACTGGACCAGGTTGCGGCCGAACCCTGGGTAGCCGATGCACTTTGTGTCAGCGGTGGTATTCGCTTCAGAGAAGAGGAAGCAGGCGAGGAGGTTTTATGACACGACCAATCTGCGTTCAAACACATGCCGATGCTAAGTTAGCAGACCAAGTGCTTTGAAAATACGTCATGGGCATTTCCTTCTTCAACTTCAACTTTTTCTTCCCTTCCTCTCCTTCATCATCTTCTGCTTCCTTCTTTTCCTCCTTCTATTCTTCTTCTTCTTAATCTTCTCCATCATCTTCATCTGTTGTCTTCTCCTTCCTGATTTTTACCTACTTTTACTTTACGACTTGTCATTCTTCTTCTGGGACCAGAAAGCGATTTTTCTTTTTTACTTTTCGTCACTTTAGACTCATGATTCCCACTTGTATTTCTACTCTTTTCTTCACCTACTACTGTTGTTATACCTATTCTTAACGTGGTTCTAATTTGTACTATTACCTTTTATTCACCCTCGCTTTTCTATTTCTTTCTCAGCGCGAGTCTTTGCCTTTTGGATATCTGACGAGGGGCTGCCAGCTCCAAGGCGTCTGCGCAGCGCCGGCGCGTGTTTCTTCCCTCTTTTTTCTTTACTTCTAATCCATGAGGCAGCTTTCCTTCTGACTTCACCGCCCTTGCTCCTCCACTCGTCGCCCGCAACGCGAGGAGCAAAAAAGCAGTGAACTTTCGATATGACTGGAGAGGATGATGTCGGGTACGAGCGTTTATGTCATCGGGAGGGAGTGGGAAGGGGGGAAGGGGACTTGTGCAGATTATGATAGACTAATACATGATCCCGAACATGATACCTTGCCCTACGCAACTGTGACGGTTTTTGTAGAATAATGGATCATGTATGATTCGCATCGGTCTCGCTTGGATCGGGGGTGAAATGTCTTGTCCGGACATAGAGGAGGCGAAAATAGAGGACCGGATGTTCGTGTTCGGGGCCTTTTTGTAGTTCAACCAACGTCCCCATCGCAGTAGGAGCTCGTCTTGTCGTTTCTGCACATGGAGGAAAACCTGAAACGGCCATGTTCGCCTTGATAGAAGATGCAAGAGCAGATGGGAGAAATGAAAGCCGTTGCGTTTTGGGTGGGGGGGACAACCCCGCGACGGCAAGACCCTTTCTTCGGTCGGTGTCCGCCTCGCCCTCTCCCTTTGTCGCGACGAGATACAAGGGCCGAATCTATCTCTGATTTCTCTGTTCATTTCAATTAGTTCATCTTTTCTGACCCTTGCTTTCCAAGGGTCATAGCAACCGTCGCTTCCATTCCCGTTCCCAGCAACGTGGCTTGGGCGTACAGGGCTGGTTGGCGCGCCGCGAGGCAAGCCACGTCTTTTGTCGGTTATCAAGACGACAAGTCCTGACATCTTTTCCTGGCCTTCTTCATTAGTTAAAGTGAAGAGAAACATGAAAGCAGCCCTATCGAACGGCGGCGCAAGACACAGCTCGATACCTGACTCGACGTCCATACACCAACCAGCTTAGCCCATTCCCCCCATGTCCGGGATGTGGGCGGCGTTGCTGGCTGGGCTGGCCCAATTTGGGGGGCTGGGCGTTGGATGTATTTCCATTACATACTACGAAACTGAGCCTAGCAAGAAAATTGTACTTCGAGGGATCGCCCAGGACGAGGTAGTATACTTATCAACATGAAGGAAATGGAGGTATCGCAGCAAAGGGAAAAAAAGAAAGCACTGGTTGGCGGGTCACTGTAGAAAAAGGACATGACCAGATGTACCCCAGACGTGTACGACATGAAGTAGCTGCTCTCCAGTTTCAGACCCCATGGGGAATACACGGGCTCCTCCCGTGAAGAGGGGGTCGTGTCATTGACTGCGAAATGATGAGCGTACGTGCGTGTGTGTATTGACCCAAACGCGGGGAGAAAGGGATCATTATTGCGTCCGTAACTCCACGGGATGGGCGGGATGGGCAATCGAGGAGATAGAATCCCCGTGTTAGCCGATGTCAAGCGAGAAGAGAGCTTGTCCCGCTGGCATGGTACTGTTCCCCTCCCCCGTCCGTCTATGCCCAATTCGTGAATTCGTTTTAGTCACGTTTGACTGTAATGGCTTTCGGCAGAGGAAGATGCAGAGGATGAACTGACGCGCAGAGACGAGCCTGAAACCGGTGGTGCTGTGCTTGTTGTGACGGCTACCGCTGGCTCACGAGGGATTCGCGCCAGCCAGCCCCCCCCCCCCCCCCGGCAGCCTGACAACGCGTTGATTTTCCAACAAACGAGGGACGGCAGAAAGTAGAAGCTGCGCGGAATGGGTTCGGGGAGTAGCAGGTTCGACAATGCCTCTTGCGCCCGCATGCCGACCAGACATGCGCACGCGCGCCACACCTTGTAAATCCAAAACCCCTCAATGTCAGGATTTCTGATTCAACAGCATCTGTCAAGCTCAGTTTCGGCGCTTATCATGAAAAAGGTGGTGATTCCCCTAGTCAACAGTTTGGCCGGCTAACACGCTGGTCCGCGCCAGCAGGAGGAAAAACGAAATAAAAAGATTAACGAAACATGGCCTGATGTCTCGTTTCTATTTTCGCTGTTTGTTATTTCTCAATGCGTTGGCCGCGCCGACCCTTGTTTGCTCTGCTTCCACACTTCCCCTCTTTGGTGGTCGAAATAGGAAGCTGCTTTGGCCACTTATCGCAGGGGTATGCTTAACGTTGTTGTCGATGTCGAGTCTGCCGCTCCGCCAAACGAGCAAGGGGGGAGGCCAGGGAGGAATCTTTATTGGAAAAGGTTCCTTCGTTGACGACGATGGCAGCTGTTGCGGCCAATGCTAGTTGCAGTTTCCTCGTCATGGACACCTCTAGCCGCATGAACAGCATCTTTTACCCGTCTTCGCAAAGCAGGAATGCCCTGCTTGGCAGGCATAGCAGAAATGGCCAAGCCTTAATTAGAGTCAGTGGCTCCTAGTCGCGACGATCGCCGGTTCTCAGCCGCTGTGCTTTCCACGTTTTGTGTCGTCTTTGTTTTGACTTGGAAGGGTGCGGATTATTACGGGTGGTGGCAGTTGGTTTGGCGTCAACTCCTCGTAATAATCTGAGACCTCGCCCTTGGAATGTCTCGCTCGACAAGGCTGCAAGGCAAGGCAGGGTAGGCCTGCAAAATGCAGCTGCTCCGGCCCTGTACGACGCCGCAACGCAACTGTTTCTTGTCTAGCGGCGCGAGTTGTGGCGTCAATCCTGGTCTAACTTTTTGCTCTGGCTTCTGGTCCACCGGCTATGGCGGTAGTGGTTGCCTGTGCAAGTCGTGCCGTTTCGCGCTGGTGAAAGGGAGAATGAGCCAAGGACGACGCCGTTAGTTGCTATATCAAGCGATAATAAAGCTGCTATACCAGAAAATACTAAGGTTAATAAAAAACGGAATGCTACGTTTACCTTGCACTATGCATAGTCGCCGGGCTTTCTGCCTGGACTGACGCTGACACCTTCGCCTGCATCGAAATTGCACTGGCGTTTGGGCCATGCCGGGCCGACAGACAATTCATGCCATGAGCTCCTAAATATGAGGACAGCGCAATCCCCCGTAGTGTTTTCGGAACGGATGGACATTGGCTTAAAAAGTTTTTCTTCTTCAACGGGCGCGGCCGACTCCTTTCACATGGCCTCCTCCACAAACTGATACCCGGGCAGTGGAAAATAGGTCGAAAATGGGCCCTTATCGTGAAGCTGTGGAGTTTTGCGTCAGAATCCGAGATGACGAGATTGCCCGAAAAGAAAATTAGCGCGCGGCGCTGCCTTGAACTCGGTGTCCGAGTTGATCACGTCTTGCCACCAGTGCAGTGCAGTCGCTGGCTGCTGTGTGTTGTGCTGTGTCGTCGCCGCCTCCCGTCATCCATTCCATCTCGCAGCATCGGCGTTGAACAAACAATATGTGCAGATGAATCTGTAGACACTGAGGTGATCAGGCAGGTCTTACACAAAAAACCTTATTGGAAGGGGTCCCTGGTCGCCTTCCCCGCACCCGCACTTGCTGCGACTGTGATCAGTGCTGCGCAGTTAGTTGGTTACTGGTATCCTACAGTGCAAAGGTAGTGGCAAGCACGGAAGCCAACCAGCGCCGCTGACTCGACCGTTGGGCTACGAAAAATTAGTGGTAGGCATGTAGGCAACAAGTTTCGGTTTGCTTGTCTGTTTTCTGCTTTCGCCCTGGCCGTCCCATCATTCGTCCCAACGGAAAAGGTCAAGACGACGTTGTGGCTCTCTGCCACATGGCCGGGGAATTGAACTGATTCGGGCCTGTTGTCCAAGAAAGCCATGCCAAGGAGGTTTCGCGGTTGATCAGTGAGACAGACACCATCTTAGACCTGGGGCGGTCTCGGTGCTATTCATAGACAAAAACCTGCAGGTCTCGCCTTGTCCGGCCCAGTGCTTCCTGCGAGCAAGGGCATCCTGCCTGCCTCTGCTTCTGCTTCTGCCACGCTTCAGTGTCTCTCTCCCCGGCTATCGGAAGTGGGAGCTGACTGACGGCGGACAGTGAGCGAGCGAGTCGGCTACTGTCCACGCTGCCCCCTCCTGCGTCCTCCTCGCCGCTTCTCCATTCATGCGTCCCGTCTCCCGCCCACCAGCGCATCATGACTGGCTTGGCTCCCTCTCTCTCGCATATGGGGCGGCGCCACAACGCCGAAGCGGCCTGCCCCAAGTCCATTCAGCACACACACAAAATCGTTGCCTCATTGCGTCTTTCCATCATCCCGTCTGCTGCGCAGTAATACCACTCGTCAGCCTGAGTCGTGTATTCTTCCCGCCCCACCCTCACCGCCAAATTTTTCCTTTCCCCTTCGACGGCGCAGTAGGTTGCCCTCTGTGGCGGTGGCATGACCTACCGAAGCCTAGGTAGGTGGTTAGGATGCTCCCGAAAAGCCGCCAGAGTCAGTGAGTGTGTGTGCAGTTTCCGTATCTCTTTGGCTGTCCGGATTAGCCCTTCGGTACCTTGTATGTAAGTAGTTAGTTCGCCCTTCTCTCTTCTAGCCAATGGCGGCGCCAAAGAGAACGGGCCCGCGAGAGCCAGTGATGCGCAAGACGAATACCTACTCCTCGGAGTGACCAGTAACACCACCGGCGAAAGCATTTGCCATGCCCACAATACTAGGCCGTGTCCGCTTCAGCTTTGCTGCGTACCCACAGGACTGGTGCCCGCCCTGCAATCCCCCAGGATCTTGGATCTTGGCCGAGTTCAGGGTCGAGAGGTTAGTTGGTCCGCCTCTCGAGTGAGTGTCCCACGGTGCATGAGGGCAGCCCACGAGGACAGACGTCGCGGCTCGCAGGCTCGACTGTTGCAGCGTCTCCGGCCTTTTCTGGGGAAATGAAGGCCTGCCGTCATGTCATGACGAGCGAGGCGCGCCATCGGACCCTCCGGTCGCCAGAGGCCGATGCAACCACTCCTCATGTCCTCGTTTGGATGGTGGCGCTCCCTGGCTCCTCGCACCAAGGTTTGTCCGTCCGTCTGTACCAACCCAGCGAACGGCGACGCCACGCCACAGCACACACACAGCAAGCACCCACAGGCCACCACCCTTTCCACCATCCAACCATCCACTAGAACGCGCCACAGGATGGTTGGCTTCTCGAAGTGCTGGTGGAGTGCTGGGGGACGAGGCTCAGGAGTCCCAGCTGCAGCCAGCTGTGCCCTCCCCGGAAGGTCTTGGATGCGGGATCGAGCCAGGGGCCAGTATCCGCGTCCTTTGATTGGCGCTTCCTGCTCGTGTGTGGTGGCTTGACTCTTTTTCACCTTCTCTTTCAGGCCGATGGTGGCATTTCCCTCACATGCTGCCTCCCCCTAGCAGGCCTTCTCACACAATGGCTCGCCATGGCTGGCAGCCCTACTCCATTTCCCCCAGTCTGATGGCCTTGTTGCGTTAGTTGGTCTCTGTAGTGCTGTAATCGCCGTTCCCCCAGGCTCGCCTCAGGTTACATCCATCCCCCTCTCCCACCACAGACTCTGTCGACTTTCCTCTCCACTCCCCGCCTGCTCTGGCTGCTTCTTATCTGACTCTCTCGACGCTTGCTAACTGGTGAGGCATAACGGCGCTTCGCTTCGAGTGTTTTTTCGTTCCTTTTCATATCTAAAGCGGCTTTCTTGATAGCGACCGGCTTTGCTTGTCTCGACTTTTTTTCTGTAAACCAGATACTGTGTTTGCTGCGCCACCTCACCCTAAGCACGACCGGCTCACACAACTTCGCTTCCTCATTGACAGGTTGGACCAATCTCACAATTACCACCTCCACCACTCCTGATCACAACCGTCGCTCTATCCGGACTTCCTGTCACCGTATGGTATCCCTTCGCAGATATCGTTTACCATTCAGCCGTCGTCCGACCTTTTGTCATCTCGCATAGACAGCGCCGCCGTACAACTAGCATGGGCGACACCGTTGAGCCTCTCCACACCTGCCGTTGACCTCTGTCGGTTTTTTTTTCGCTCTCGCTCGTCTTGGCTCGCCGGCTCGCAAGGGATGCCTTCACGTATCGAAAATTAACGGTATCGGCCACGGCTAATAAATCGCCTGACCCCATCACCAACCACGCTGCCTGCCGAGCCTGGGTCGTCCTGATCCCGGTGCTGAGGCAGAACCACCATGTTTGACCATGAATCCGACAAAGCTCGGGCGTCTGGCTTCGCGCTTGACGCCTATGGTAATATGAATCAACACACGTATTTTCACTCAGGAGATGATTTCGGCTCCATCGCTCCGTCGCAGCTCGCTAGGTTGCCGGACGATATGCATCGTATGGATTCGCACGCGATGGACTGGACGCCCACTCCGACTGGTCATGGCTCTCATTTTCGCAACCAAAACACGTTCAACGACCAGGAGGATTTGATCGATTTTGACGAAATCACCACATCACAGCCGGAAGTGAGTGGTGTAGGACGCCTTGTCGCACAGTTCGAACATCGTGACTATGTGCCTCCTCTACCGCCCAGGCCCATCATCAACACCGCCCCCAGTCCTGCAGAAACAGACCCTTCGTTGACGAACTCATCCTTATCCTCATACTTTAGCAGTTTTGCCAGTACTGCACATGCCAACCAAGCGCCGAGCCCTGTCGGCAGCCCCGTGGAGTCACACTATGGCTCTTTCGGCGACGTTCTCTCAAGGATCACAAGCCCGCCTGACCTCAACAGCATGGGCCCTGGCTCGCCACTTATTGGCTTTGAAACGTTTCCGAATGTGCGGATTGCGAGTCCTCATATCAGTGTCGTTCGCTCCCACGTTGCTCCTGGCTTTTCACGGTTCCAGGAGGAGAGAGCGCGCACCCCCGTTGGTGGAGAGCCGAAAAGTCTACCGAACAACCAAGGCTTAGATGCCGATTCCCATATGTTTGGAGACGTCGAGCGGAATATTCTGACCTTTCTGAAGCCAGACATTGATACGAACAAACGCCAACAAAGTCTGCAACCAACACGGCAAGACCCTCAACAAATGCTGCATGCAAATCCTCAGATGCCTCAGCAGATGAGTTTCGTGGCGGCACACCAAGTAAACCAACAGCTGAATCGGCAATTAAGCAATCGACAACATGTGTCAACGCCCCAACCGGCCCAGTCAAACCAGTCACGGCCACCCATGCAACCGTCTCAGCCATTTCAGCCCAACCAACCAACGCAGCAGACTCAAACAACGACGCAGCCGAGCCAGACTAGTCAGCCGATCGACTCAGCCCAGCAGCTTCACCATCAGCTTAGCAGGCAAGACAGCCAGTCAACCCAGCCGCAACAGACCTCGTGTTCAGGCGCGTTTGGGAGCGCAGCCATCCCAGGAACACCTGGTTTTTCGATTTGGCGCCCCCCCTCGCCCCCTAACATCAAGCAAGAGCCTTCTCCCGACAGCCCTTCCATGTTCTCAAGAACTTCATTCGAAAAGCCGCCCGTGCCACCCAAGCCCAAGCCGATTCAGGAAGCACACCAGATCACCTTGGATTTCAACGCCGCTGCCAAAGATAAAGGGAAGGCTCCTGTCAAACCACCGAAACCTCCAAAGCCGCTTCGCTCGAAACTGCAGCCACCGCAACAGCCTCCCCGCCCTCAACTTGATACCGGAATTCCCATTACCACTCCTAGCAGCGAGAAGGTAGCGCAAACTCCGGCGACCCCAGCAACCCCGACAACTCCTTCGACAACCGCCGATGTTACCTCGCCAGGGCCCTCGGTAAGATAGCCGATGAATAGTGCCCACCAACAATTGCTAACATGAGAAAAGGCATTGCGACAGGCAGTATCCGCGCTTCGAGGTCATGGTTTGCGTCCGGGCAGAGAATTAGTCCCCGCAGAAGTTTGGGAGCACCATAAACCAACCATCCGCTCACTATATCTGGACGATCGTAAGCCTCTCAAAGAAGTTATGGGCATTATGGCGGAGAAGTACAACTTCCAAGCCACGTAAGTCAGGACGAAAACCGCAGCGAGTCGTTGGCTAATGTGTGCGTAGGCCGAAAATGTACAAGACACGATTTTCGCAGTGGGGATTTGCTAAGAATAATACCGAAGACGAAGTGAAGAGGCTCTTGGGGATGAAGTTCCAACGCGATGCTGAAGGCAAAATTTCCGAATTCGTCCGCAACGGCCGGGTAGTGAACCTCGGCACATATCTCAAGCGCAAGGGTGTCACAGAGTACGACCTCATCGATTTTGAGCAGCCTGTTGATTTGCCCGCACATATTCGCTGTCGAACACCGACGCCGCCGCCGCCTCCCATCTACTTCCATACTCCCGAATTGGTCCGAGCCCAGGAAGTCCTCGTCAGCAATATTCGGAAAGCTTTGCTTCAGTGCCGCCAATTTGAGACCGAAGTCGGCACACAGGTTGGCTGGACGGTGGTCCAAACGTGGGGTGCGTGGTCCTCCGAAATTCTTCTCGAGGCCAACTTCTTCTTCGAGGCTTTGGATACCGACACTGGTGGTCAGTGTCTTATGCGGGCGTTTAAGCAGCTGGAGGAAGACCTGAAAACGCTATCACCTCTGGGAATCTTTGAGCTGTTGACCGGCATGGCGAACCGCGACTTGGGCCTCGTCTCGTCACTCTGCAAGTATCTTGCTGCGCATTCGACAACCAACTTGGATCGCAACCACCCCCTGCGACTCATCTTCAACTGCTTGTACGAAGTACAGCAAAATCATGGGGCTGCTGTCTTGTCCGAGCTTCTCTGGGGCTGCTCTCCGCTTTTTGCCAACGAGCTAGAAGCAATCTATGGAAGACGGCATCCATATGTCGTCCGAGCCTGGCTCGACCTTGCCTACTTCAACAACCATATCAATTTTGACCGTCTCCAAAAGATTGCTGTCGAACTCCGCGCTGTGCAAAAGCAGCTGGAGCAGAAGAATGGGGAAACGGAACCCGAAGTATTGATTGTTCGATACGCTCTGCTCCAGCTGATGTATGCGACGGAGCCCAAATCGGACAACACCAAGCACGCCACCACCGAGCTCTGGGCGACGCTCAAGAGCATGAAGGTGCTGTGCAGAATACGCGACACCAAGTCAAACGCATACTGCTACCACAGCCCTGTGCGATTGAGTCCATGGACGAAGCGCTGCCGCCGGCGCTACGATGCCGCTATGGCTATTTTCGAAGACCATCTTGGTGTCAAGCTGCACCCGTACTTTGAGGAGGACCTCCATACTTCGCTGCATGAGTTGGAGTCGTCCGATTCTTGGGTCACGGGGCTCGAGCTGTCCGGGGGCGGCAGTCGGCTGGGCTACATCTGAGCCGGTTCTTGGATCCTCAAACTCGTTTCCTGCCGCCTTGGCCGGCATAATATACACACCAAACAACCCTCTGCCTGGCTACGTCGTAGCCGTAGATACACGTGGGCAGACGGCATGACGAGCCAACGACCTTATCATTACCCTCAACGTCGATCGAATCTTGCGGGAGAAGCTTGCTACAGCATCTTCTCATCGGTCTTGTCGTTTCGATGCGACTTGTTAATTCTCTTGCGCGTTTGCTCGATTTCGAACATTCCTTATTTTCTTTCTGTCTTATTCGTTTGCGCTGGCCTGGGAGTTTTTGAAGCAAACGCCGTGACCTCGCGGTCTTGCTCGTTCCCTTACTGTACCATTAGTTTTAACATTTGATCGAGAAGGGTTTAGAACGAGAAACGATACCAACTTGGCAGTGGGCCGGTTTTGATGAGCGACAGCATGGTCTTTGCTTGCAATATTATTATTATTATTTCCATAGGGAGGAAGATAGCGAACGGGGCGTACTGCAAGGAGGCATGAGCCCAATAAAAATATCACGAGGTATTGATCTGCTCTTTTCGTTTGATGCAAAAGTGGCGACGCTGGGTGGCAGCTGGCAGGAATAATTGTTGGTTGGCACCTGCCAGTTTTTGCACACAATACGTAACATCACGTGTCGAGATTCTTTTACGCAATCTCAATACACAGAATATATGCAAAAAATTCCAGGCATCCGGCCTTGACAATTCTTCCTCGCCCTGTTTCATCAGCCATGCATGTCATCCTCACGAGTCGCGGCGCTAGACACGATATTTGGTGGTGGAGTGCCGACCGCCAAATTTTGACATGCAATCTCAACTCCTTTCCAGTATTGCGATGATGTTGGCCACACATTCATGTCGTATTCTTCCCAGAGTAACAAGAGAAACGTGCAAACGGTTTTCCTCATCATATAGAACAGTGAAAGGTTCGTCTTGCTCCTACATTCTCCCGACAGCCGCTGACCAGGAAGCTAGAGTTCGACGTGCTCTTTCTACGCCAGCAAGGCGTCAAGTTCCCGAAATGGCACCTCACGGCGCCAATCAGACATGACGCCCACGTCAAGCTATCGTATGGCGCCTCGGTCGCCGCGTCCGACCTGATTGGGAAGCAGATCCTGGAGCGCACCGTCGACGATCAGGGCAACACCGTCGCCATCCATGAGCCTACCCTGGCCAGCTACATTGTCAACAGCGTCCGATCAGCCACGCCTGTGCGTCTCTAAATTCCAAAGCACCACATATTACCACTCATAGACCATTCATTGACCAAAGACTGACTCGCCCGTTCTGTTAGATATATCCCAGCGACGCAGAGACAATCGTGTCCCTGCTCGAGCTCAACCCGACTCGCCCAGGCGAAGACGACGATGACCAAGGAAGGCCCGACAACGACGGCGCCCCGTTTGAAGTCTTCGAGGCCGGCACCGGCATGGGCAGTCTCAGCTTGCACATCGCCCGCGCCCTGCACGCCGCCAACCCGCCCGTCTCTGCGCACCTGCGCCACGTCCTCCGCAGCAGCCCGCTCGCGCGCAACGTCGTCGCCGCTGGCAACGTGCTCGAGCTGCCCGCCTCCGACGCCGCCATTCTCGCCGCCTACCGAGCCTCGCGCCGCGCCGTCCTGCACACGCTCGACCGTAGCGGCAAGCACACGCGCGCCGCCTACAAGCTCGTCCGACACTTCCGCCGCGCGCAGTACCTCGCCGACATGGACTTCCACGTCGGCACCGTCGACGACTACGTCGCCGCGCGCCTCGCCGCCTCGGGAGGCCGCCCCATCTTTGCCCGCGCCGTCCTCGACCTGCCCGCCGCCCACACCCACGGCGCTGACCGCCTCATCCGCGCGCTGCACCCCAACGCCGTCCTCGTCCTCTTCAACCCCTCCATCAGCCAGATCGCCGAGTTCCAGTCCTGGGCCCTCACCACCGGCGCCCCGCTCCGGCTCGAGAAGGTCCTCGAGCTGCCCACTACCTCCACCGCCGATGGCGTCCGCGACGGCGGCTGCGGCGGCAGGCACTGGGACGTCAAGATTGTCAGGCCGAAACCAGCACCGAGCGAGGATGGCACGCAGGGCGCGTGCCCCTCGGAGGAGCAGGAACCGGTCGTCGTCATGCGACCCAAGGTCGGTGGGCGCGTCGCCGGCGGCGGCTTCATCGCCGTGTACCGCAAGTGGCCCGAGGGAGTGAACCGCCAACAGCCCGAGGAGCCCGAGGAGGAAGCAGAAGAATAACATACCGAGGTAACATTTTGGATAAACTGTGTACTATTGTAGCCAATAGCTGTATGTTAGATTGACGGACACATCGCCGCGACGTTGTACGATAGAGTGGAACAAGAAACACTGTGAATTATGAATAATCGCCTGCTAATTATGCCAACGCTGTCCAAGCAACCAAGTAATGTGATGGGGGTATCTATATGCATGTGCGCAGAAACAACCCAAATCCTCCAAAAAAGAAATTGTCCCCTTTTTTAAGCCACTCCGTTTCATGCCCATCGTGACGACGTGAATCCCCATGTGTATAATACCCACCGCCCAACCAAACCAATATGCAACAGTACAAGCCAGATCAAAAGAAAAAAGTTGATAGAAAACAGAAGCAAAAGAAGAGCAAAAAGCACACAATGTCCAGCACTGCTTCGAAAGTTACCGCGAGGCAACCCAAGAGAAGAACGTTCAGATCGTAGGCCACCAACGATGGCAAAGCCAATCTGACGCGCGAAGGATGACTGGAGCTCGGAGATCTCAGATAGGAAAGAATTTGGGAATGAACAAAAGAAGAGATGCAGATTTACATCTCTCATCCGGGCGCGAAGCCCTTATCGTGCTGAGGTAATCGGCAGAGCTGTTACTGCCAAATCTGGTGTGTTGTAAAAAAGAAATGTCGCCGCCATTGGCTGCGATGAGACCCAATGGAATAGCTTGCGCTTCTCTTGCGACATGTTTCTAAGAGTGAAAATAGTAGAAACATAGAAATTGACAAAGTATACAAGTCAAGGAGCTTCGGCTACAGGCTTGCCACTCGGTCTGGCGCACGGGCGCAGCAGACGGTGAGCTTCAAGCTGGTGCCCAATTCGCGACACTCATTCAAGAGCGCCTTGTCGTCCCAGATGCTGTTGCGTCCCTCCTTGACGCCAGCTGCATTCTCGTAGCAGCGCGTGTACCACCAACGGCCAACGCGCGTCACCATCTTGGTGATGTTGGCATCCGCCGCCGGGCCGTTCTCCTTCATCATGTCGGAGAGGCTCGGCGGGGCCTGCGGTTGCGGTTTCCTGCGCGAGCCGACGCTGCTCCGCGGCTGGGTGATGGAGCTCGCCACGGGTACGCCTACTTTGGCGGCCCGGATGCTCGAGAAACCGCCACCGCCCAGCAGCTTGACCACAATGTCGGCAGCAGATCCAAGGCTCGTGCCGGGGGACTGTTCGTGAATCATCTCCTTCAACTGCCGCATTGTGCGACGACCCCGGTTGCCCATGTTGTTCAGGTCCAGATCGAGAATAGCAAGCTCAAGATACCCTCCCGCCTTCAGCACACGTCGGGACTCAGCAATAATGTTGCGATAGTGGGACTCAGGCGCGGCGACCGGGAAGCGGTACACTACGGAGTCAAAGCTCTGAGGGGCAAAGGGAAACTTGGCCAGGTGATCCAGATACTGGACTTGGTGGTGATTTGGCGGGCTGAGGAGAGCGTTTGATTCTCCCTTCTTGGCAGTATCATCCAGCGCCGCCCGAGGAGAGAGGTTGTAGAAATTAGCCTTGGGGTATGTCTCGGCCACGTAAAAGGACCAGTCATCGTTGCCAAGCCCATCAATCACCAAGATAGAGTGGCGAGATGCGATAGACGACGAGTCTGACTTGTCGGCAATCAACTCATGACGAATATCACTGAACAGGACATGTCCAAACGTAAGCCATTTGCTGACAGTCATGGAGCCAACACGAAGGTTGACTTGAGCCAGGGGTGAGCTGTAGTCGAAGGAGCTGGAGCTGCTACCCGAAAACCGAGACTTGGAGGAAGCAGAGCTATGTCTTCGCGATCCAACCTGTTCGGCGCTATTTCGCTTCATCCAGAGGCTTTCATCACCGGCGCCGATGGAGGAGTGGTGTGGCTGAAATGCTGCCTTGAGTCTTTCAGTCATGTCGGCGCTACAGTAGCTTGACCGTGACATGTTAGAAAGCCTGGAAACCTTTCGCTCGGCGACAACAGGCGATTCAACCGGGAATGCTTTCCCAAGCTTCTGCTGGTAAGGTTCCAGGTGGAACGGGATGCCTTTGGAAGATGTCGTTGACCGCCTGAGACGGTCTGAATCATCACCCAAAAAATCATTGTATTCATCCCAGATTTCGTCTTCAACCGGTGGATCATCTGGTTTAGGGATGATTGCTGTAGCTCCAGCATAGGCACAAAACCCAGATGAACTAGAGCTTGTGCAAGCCGTTCCGACAGAGAACTTTCTTGGCGAAAATGACAAAAACTCTCTTTGTGAAGTGTCGTCTATGATGTCATTGTTGGACTGGGGGTCTGGGGAGGCAGTCTCGGCCGTGGTGCTTCCGATCGTTAACTCGTCAGGAAACGCTCCCAGGGGGATTAGATATTGCGGGCTCTGGCCTTGTGCGATCGATTCTGGTTCGATTGGCTCTGAACGGCTGAGCTGTGGTGGCTGCTGCTGTAAGCTTGCCCTGAAGGGCCGGGAAAAACTTCTTGGAGAAGCAGGATTGTGATATCGAGTAGCAACCTTCGGGATACGACCAACTTGTTGTAGTCGGCTCGGTCGGCGAAGTGGCCTTGGTACAGCTTGTTCAGCAGGCGCCGACGTACTGGCGGCTATAGTACTGTCAAGAACAGGCGATGGGCGTTGGATCTCAAAAGACGTAGCTGCCGAGCGCTGTGGAAGAACATTCGCTGCAAACAAAACGTCGTGGACTTTGGCGTCGTCGGTATCTCCATGCTCAGAAGGATCCATAATTGCATAGAATGGAACAGAGCGCTTGTTGACTTCCACCGTCGTAACAGTAGCGGAAACGGTAGCATTTGCCGCTGTTTCAGGCTCTGGTGTATTCTTAGTCCGTCCGAAGAAGTTCCACTTTCGCGGCGAGCGTTGCTTCTTCTTCAACTTGCGCGAAGCTTGTTGTGAGACAGTAGAGTCCAGGGACTGATCTCTGTGAAGCTCCAGATGAGAGTCATCCGTAAGTACGCTGGTATCAATGCTTGTGAGAGGCGAGCCGAATACGCCTGTTGTATTGATCGGCTGCGGGAGACGTAGAGGGCTATCCGGTGCAGTTTGCAGTCTCTGGACAGAGCGGCGAAGAGCCAAGGTCGGTCGTTCGCAACCGTCTTCCGAGTCGCTGCTGTTATAGAAACGCTTCTCCCTATACGGCAGTAAAGACGGTTGAAGAACACTCGAACGTGCGCTGCTCTGCGTGCTGAATGGTTGGCTCGTATCTTTCTCCTTCGGCGATGATTCGAAGCTCTTGTTCATGTTCTCCACCACTTCGCCGCCTGAAATAATGACAGGGCTCATGCGGTTGGCTAAGAAAGAGTCGTCGCTTGCAATGGTCTCTTGAGATGCTTGCGGTCCGGCGTAATTATACGTGTTAGTCGCGCCACCACTTCGGCGACGCACTGCCCCGACCTTGCCATACCCTTCGTGACCTGTACCTGCCGCCGGACCCTTTCTTGTAAGCTTCCGCGTGTCTTTTTTTTCCTCCAGGTCTTCACTTGTCTTTCTGCGCCCAAAAAAGTTGAAACGGCTAGTTGATGACGATTTGGCGCTTGAAGTCGACTTTGCGGTCTGTGGTCTGGAAGACGCTGGGGTTTCCTTCGAGGCTAAAGCACTGCCGGGATCGACTGGAAGTTGAGATATTGATGAATTCTTTGAAGACTTTGCCGGTGACGATGATTTGCGAGAATGGCTAGTCGAGGCACTGCCCCTTCTGTCACCCAAGCCGGGCCTGCTGCCACGGAGGTTGCTTTGAATAACAGGGATGGGGTCGAACAATTGCGATTTCAAGTCCGGGGTTCCTCTCCGACTTGGGCGAAGCGGTATAGGCGGTCGTTGCGGAGACGAAGTCGCAGTTATTGCTTTGGTATTGACCTCACGTATCTTCTCGTCCTCCGTTGTCGTATCCTCCTTGGTTTTGCGAAACCTTTGAGACGATTTCCTGGGTGGTGGGTTTGGGGGCGCCGCCGCAACCTTTCCAGAACGCTTTTTTGGTGTGCTTTGGCCCCCTTCCCTAACTGTTGAACCTGATGAGGAGGAGGTTACCGACTCACGAACGGCATCTAGACCCCGAGGCTCCGTAGCAACTGTGTCAACGTCTTGGGAAATGCTACCGGCTCGTCGGCGGGTAACCGGAGGCCTAGAGTGCGCCGGGCTGGTTTGCTTTGGCTTTGTGTAGTAGCTGGGGCGACTCGGTGCAATCAGGCCCGGTGATTGTGACGAGATTGATGTTGGTGTCGTATCGCGGCTGTAAGGGCCGGGTCCCGGTGATGCTGAGAACTTAGTCGAAGGGCTCGCACTGACCATACTCAACTGTGAGCTGCTTCCTGAAAATACAGCACTACCAGGAGTAGGAGGTGGTAGGTCATGCGTCGACAGTTTATACAACGCATCAATTGAGAGCTTGCGGGGGACCAGTGAGGGCTGCTGTTCATGATTGCGATAACGATCCAGCTCGGGGTAAATAAATGGAGGTTTTGCAGCGGCCAAGCCTGATTCTGGTGTCTTGTTCGAGGCTATTACATCTGATTTTGCTGATTTTGAGCCTATGTCGAGATAAATATCAAGCGCCTCATCAATCGATGCCATTGACTGTCTTTTTGATGATGCGGAAACACGGCGGCTCTCGTCAAGGTCTGTTGCGCTGCGAGATGTAATTGACCTTGGCTTACTGTATTGCTCTCCAACACTCTTCAGGCTGCTCTCATAGGAGACCCCGGAGGAGGAGGAATCCAGGCTGCCTTGGGTGCGACTTCGTGACGAGGCGGAGCCGGAAACGCTGATGGAGGGCATTCGTCTGGGTTCATGGTGTTGCGGGGGAGAGGTCGGAATCGGCAGCCCCGATTCAAATCTTCCTGCTGTACGTACCGACTTGCTGGGGATTCTCGAATGGTGCAGCCTAGGTTGCTCAGGCTTTGACGAAAGTGCCTCCCGTGTCGTATTAGTGTTGACAGGCCGAGGTAGGCCTCCTGCGGTGGGAGCCTGCACCCTCCTTGATCGAACGCCATCGGATGGATTTGCAGGCAGGCCGTATCCCCCAAACTCTCGCTTGAGGGATGCCATGGTGGCGGTGCATGAAGCGGGTGACTTCTAGCAGATTTGACTCATAGTATGCGGCAGCCTGCTTTACGATGGTGCGTGGGTGGTGACACAAAAGTCGAAGAACCAATTACTTTCCAATGGCCCCGTGTAAGAAAAAGACAGAGGTGGTTTCGTTTTCCAAGGGTTGGCCTCTTGACAGAATCTGGCTTGTTGGCCAAGTGATGTTGCAAAAAGATGAGTAGGCCCGAGATTGTCGCACGTGCGGGTAAGAGATCCGGGTAATGCTGCCAGCAGCTTTCCAAGGGTGTACTATAGACACAGAATGTTGTAAAAGGCTGAAAACAAAGCCAAGTCGGTTTGAAATGAACTGGCACACCAATATGAATACGAAGTAGAGCAATGTCCAAGGTGGAGGGAGGGGAATTGGCGACGCGAGGTAGTGGTGGTGGGGAGCGAAAATCGACAGTGTGCGGGTGCGGGTAAGCTGACGGGGGCCAGGGACTGATAAAAACTGCTCTTTTGGCACTGCGAGCCAAGTCGAAGAGAGAAATAAGGGTATCAAGAAGCAAACGGATAGAGTGATGTGAAGTAAGGCGGGGTTATTAATGACGGGATAAGACGTAAAGGATAGGTAGTAGTCGAGTTGTAGAATAGCGCACAGCTTTGCCTGGCATTGCTCCGTTCGAAAACTTAAGCGCCAAAATCAATGGCAAAGGCACAATAATAAGAGAGAAGGGAAAAGGGAGATGGCAACGAGATATCAAGGTGGTGTGGCGACCGGAATAGCCATGGTATTTAGTTAGACGAGCAACAAGACCTGCAGTAAAACAATGAAGTGGGCAAGGCGAGAGGAGGAGGCATGGACACGACTGCAAGCTCTGTATCTGGTGGCGGCACTTGCAGCACATGTCCAGAGGCGTGCAGAACTTGAGCAAGTCTCTATTTTGGCTCAAGGCAAGGCCCTGGCCGCATATCCCCAGGCAAAGCCCACCCCTCTCTTTGGCTGGAGTCGCCGAACGCCAAAAGGACCAGAGTGCCAACTCGGGCATAGTATGAGCAAGCAGGCGACGACCTGTAGAGAAATCTTGTTGGGTGGACAGGGCGGGCCCCCCAAGCAGCCACTTACCAGTACTTGACTGGCGAACTGCGCCGTGATGCAAGTGGAATCCTGCCCATCGGCCTGCATACACAACTCCGTCCTATGGGAGGGCGACGGTGCCGGGATGGCGCTGTAATTGGGCATCAACACGGTACGCCCCCCCTGATGATAGACACGGAGCGGGCCATTGTCGACCGACCGGGTTGCCTGGCTGTCTCTGGGTGCTGAGTTGATGAGCGCGCGAGCACTTAACTGATATGCGGCGCAGACGGTGGGCCGTGGAACGAGGCAGCAGGTCGAGCAGTTTGGCACGCACCGCCAAACCTCTCTCTTATTATTGTCAGAATCCAGAATCCACGGCGGCTGTTTGTGGTCCCTGGCACACGGCAGGGAAGGAATGGCCCGGCGGGCTGGCCCAGAACCTTAGTCCAGTCGGGTCTGCAACAACAGCGTGCTAAAGAAGTCCCGGAGGTGGTGTCATGGCCCATGGCGCCTAGGATGTAGCCCGTAACTAAAAGTTAGGTGATTTGTCGTCGTGTGGGTATCACCTCCAGGACCAGCGCGATGATACTGTTATTATTAGCTGGCCGCTAAAAGAAGTCTCCTCGAGGGCCGATGGGATCCGGCACCATTGTGCTGGAGACTTGGCCAAGTCTCTTGAGCATGGAAAACCCCTATTTTTCGTCCATGACTTCAGAAGCAGCCTCGCGCTTGAATGGACCGACTAACTATGGTGCGGACCTGCTTCTTGCGGGCTCGACTGCTTTGAGGGGGACAAACGGCTAGCAAGCCTTTGTGTCTTGGACATGCAGAATGTCTCACTGATTCGTCTCCGACAGGACGATCTGGGAAGAGAACTGGGGAATGGCGCAGTTGGTAACACCGAGGAAAATGGCGCCGCCACAATTGTCCGCCACCCGCCAACCGTTGCGTAACAAACTGTACTCAACTCGTTGAAGTGTGCCAACTACAATGGCATGCAAGTATTGAAGCTTGCCGCCGCTTCGGTTGCTATCAACGTGTTAGTGCGACACTAACTAACGGAAACCAATGGCCTGTTTACCGGTCAGGACCCCGACCGGCGCGGTTTTCTCAGTAAATCGGCTGATATGTAGAGTAATCGAGGACCGGCGCGCAATGCGGCCATTTTATCCGTAATCCGTAATTGCAAGGAGCCTCGAGACATGCTGTGCCCTGTTAGCGCAACATGGCTTCGAAATATCCTGCTGGGTGTACAGAGGCGGCTGAAGACGGCCAGACGGCAGGACAGGGGGGGACAGACAGGCTGGCGATTGGCGCCCAGCATCCTTCAGCTCAGGGTCAGCATCCACCAGAAATGGAGATGTAAGTGATCGTCGTGTGCTTCCAGTCTTGACCTGCATGGCCCGCACGATGCCCTCTTTAGATTAATCGTCTCCGCCTCCGTCAACCCGTTGGGAGGAGGAGAGGATAGGAATCGAAAGAAAAATTCCAGGTTTGTCATAAATGATGAGGGAGCGTCAGATATCACACTCGCTGGCGCGGCGCGGGCATTAAGCTAAAAGTCAAGCCGCACCATGCACCGGAAGCGTCTCCCGTCCAAAGGTGGTGGGAGCAAACATTTAAAAAGTTTGGCGCCCACCTCATCCACCTGAGCAAGAAGGACAATCCCCGTTTTCGCGACAGTATCACACCATTTGCTTCGTACTTTGTAGGTTGAATCGAATATCGGCCAACAATTGGTTGAAAGTCTGGGCAGACTAGAGGTGTAGCGCCGCTGCGACTGGACAAATTTTCGCCCAATGGCGATACGGTGTGTCTCTCACATCCCTGCAAGGGTTTCTGAGAGAATTGCAGCCTCAAGCCATCTGTGTACGTGGTTCGTTCAGCATCATCGCTCATGTTCTTTTGGCTGTGGCAATAAACCAGCTGTTCCCGGCTTGATTGATAGCACGCTCTCCTGCTGTTGCGATTGTAGTGACACACCCAGGGTACGCTTTAGACTGTTGATTGCCGCCGCCTGAGTCATCTGTATGGTTTTTTGATATCAACCTCGCCCACAGTGGCAAAACTGCCACGCTGTCAGGCGTTTTTACCGAGCACATCTCTTCGTACGCTTCGTTGGCATCACGCCGTTACTCGAGAAACTGGAGTCGACAAGGCTCGTCTCGCCGATGCTATTCTTGGACGGCCCTAATATTGGCCAGGTCAGCAAAAAAAAAGTTCGAAGGCAGTGCAGTGGTGCAGCAGACGCTTACCTGGGCAGAACTTGACTGTAGCCCGCCTGCCAAGCTGAAAACCCTGCAGGACTTAGCTCATAGAAATGCCTATATTTGCATCGTGGCAGCAGCCTGGTGGACGCGGGTCTAATGCATCTGTAAGCCATGTCGATGCCGCAAGTCTTGCATATTCCGGGACGGGCACGCGGGATGGAACAATGGGATGCATGATACAGATTAGTCGGGGATCCGAAGCTGGGGCTTGGGTTGGGCATTAAGAGGCAGCCTGCGCTGTCAAACACAGGGAAGCCATCTCAAGTTGCAGGACGGACCTATGTGCATACATACATAGCAGGGGGCAAGTGCTGCTTCGCCACACACGGCCACAGTTGGCCGCCCCAGTGAGGCTAGTGACGTGGCAGCGGCAGGGCCACCGCCTCAACGCGAAGACGAAGAAAACAACTTGGCCACAGCGGGCTGGTCCGCAGCTTGCAGAACATCATAACGACGGACTGCAAACTAACAGGACTAGGTTCTGGCAATTGGTCGGGAAGGCCCAGTTGCTTCAATTGGCAATCGTAGATCGTCCGTCTCCACGTCCCCCTGGCCGTCTACTTACGAATTATGCCGAGCCAAATGCGGAAGCTCGCCCTCGCTACGACTTCCTCGCCCATCGCTGGATGGGCATGAGGTCACCCGACGTCTCCGACCGCTCTTTACAACGTCACGTTAGTGACCTCATGACATGCCTCTGCCGCCGCAGGGCAATGACCGGGCGTTTGCGTGAGTTGACCGACTCTCTCTCCCCCACGAGTTGGTATACCGAACAAGTCGAGTAAGCCGACCCGAGACAATGCAACCCGGCTACTGACTTTCAACCCCCATCTTACTGCCTCTGCTCCTCTGAGCTTCTGGGCCGCACTGCCCTTTCAGCCAGCAAGCTTTCTGGCGAATCGCGCCGTGCAGAATGCGTGGCTCTTGATATTAGCGCCAATCAATCGCCGCGTCTAGGGCTCTGTCGAGAGACGATGTCTGGGCGAGTTGCACGTTCTGTCACGCCATTGGCCGCCGGCCGTCGCTGGTCAGATCCCGGACCGGAGCCTCACCTTGTCTTTGGCCCTTGACTGGCCAGCATTCGCGCGAACCATTTGCTACACACCTCCTCTCACCAGCCCCCCATGCGTGCAATCTAGTTCACGTGCTCGACAGCATCGTGCCTGCCGCAGTTTGTTCCTTGAAAGAGAGTGCGGCTGGATCGCCCCTGTTGCTGGCTGTGCTGACACGATCGAGGTCGGCGAGTTCTGGCTGGTTCGCTCGCGATGTAAAATGAGAGGCGTAGATTGCTGCAACACCATCGAACCCCTCCCCCGTTACCCCAGGGCCCCTTCTCAACGCATCCTGGTCGCTATGACGCCTTCGCGCCTATTGATGTCCTGCCCAACCACTCACCGCAGCGCCTCTGCAGACCAAGGTTGGCGTACTTGGTCTACAAGAAGTCACCTGGCCAAGCCTGTCATCGCAAAACATGGACAAGGCCTTGCCACGGCCCTTATCTGTTGACCTATCAAGCAATATATCGCCTTCATTATTTCCACTTGGACGCCTTGGCCACTTGTATCTGCCATTCATGAGTGCACGCCTGATTGTACGAGCCTTATCAATCGGCGACACGATCATGCGGGCTTGCCCGCACCCGCCGCAACGATAGTACGGATGATAATTGGCAACATATTATAGTTCGCCAAGGCTACTCAGACCGCCCTGTTGCCGTCCTTGGTTGGCATCTCGTCGGAGCAAGTGTGACCATGGCCGAGGCTTGCGAGCTCGCTGCTGCGCTCAGTCTATTTGGGGGGGTTGCCCTCGGCGCGTACGACTCGCATCTCATTTGCTGCAGCATCGGCTTCAGCTGACTTCATGGGCGCCAAGTCGCCGGAATCACATTGGAGTCGGGACGGCACATCCTAGTCACCACGCGTCCGCAACGGTCATTTCCCGCCCGTTGTCTCTGACCATCTGCCGGAATCGCTCATCGACCCTTCCGTCTAGGCAGCTCTTTATGATGTGAATTTGTAATCGTCGAACGATCTGCGCCGCACAATTCGTGTGGCACGTCACATCCAGTTCGCTCGTAACCCCGGTCCTGGCCCCGGTCGCCATAGAGGATGCTGGGAGGAACATGCAGCATTGGATCCTGTGTAATGAAACAGAAGGGGTATACGATATCTACTTATACCGCAGAGTGAGACAATCTGAGCAGTTCATTAAATTTCCTGTATTACGCCGCATGCATCCGAGATGATGCCTGGCCTCGATTCCAAGCAATGCTGGGGAAGTTGGGCAGCAATGAGCCCATGCAGTACGACTGTACTATTGAAATGGGCATGCAAGCCTACCCGAGATTCTCGTGCCTGCTTCTCGTAAACATATCTCGGACACCTGAGATACGGGAGGCTCGGCTGCTATCAAGGCACCGCGTTCCGTGGTGGCTCGGTGTTCCCCCAAAGCCACACGCCGCGGATGTACAAATCACCCATCACAAGTTGCCGAATGCTCACCACATGAATTGAGCAGCTCTTAGGTAACCGTCCCTCCGGTCTGCTCCGGTCTCTACGATGATGTGGTTGTTTGCCATCAGCGCTGTGCGGACAACGAGCATGATCGGGACAGCAAGAGAACGAGTCAATGCATAAGCAAAGTGCAGTCGATAAATGAAAAGTCGTCTAGTTCGCATCACGTCACTTTTCGCAGTCGTGCATGGCAAGATTCCACGTTTTTTCTTTCTTTTTTTGCTCTTTTGATAGTCATCTTCTTCCCTCCCTCCAGCCATGAAATTCAATCAAGCAGCAGCAAACCGTGCAGCGCGCTTCTCAGCCTTGGCTTTTTCCGCAGGATCTCCCAGGACACCAGAGCCCCTTGCCTGGGCTTGACCACGACGACCGCCAGCGCCGCCAGCTTGGCGATCGTTGCGGCCGCCGCCGCCGCCGCCGCCGTTGCGACGGTCGTTTCCTCCTCTGCGGTCTGTACTCTGGCGCTTCCCCGGGCGCTGGTGGCTGCCCTCCTGGTGCTGGCCGCGGCCGCGCTTTAGGGAGCGCTCGGGCAGGGCGGCGTCGAGGCCGGAGACGTCCTTGGCCTCGAGGCCGAACCGCTTGCTGCGCTCGGCGCGCTTCTTGGCGTCCTCGTCGTCCTCCTCGATGCCGAATCGCTTCGCGCGGTCGGCGCGCTTCTTGCTCTCCTCCTCAGCGGTCGTGGAGGAGAGGCCGATGGCGAAGGAGGGAGCGGGCGCGGCGGGCTCGGCGGCGGCATCGGCGGTGGTAGTCGTGGTGGTGGTAGCGGCGGCTTCGCCCTCAGCGGGCGCGGCGGCTTCCTGGGGCGCGGCAGCAGCAGCATCAGCAGGCTCAGGCTCCTCGGTAGTAGCCGGAGCGGCGGTGGCGGGCTTCGCGCCTTCGTCGTCGCTGTACGTGATCTCGTCGTCCTTGGCAGCTGCGTGAAGAGGTTAGCTTCCAGTCTCAGAGTTGCTGTTGCGCTGCGCGGGCGCGTCGTAGAATGATGGCGCAGACGGCTACCCTCTTCTTGCTTGCTTCTTTCTGTTTACCTCCGCGTATTGCGCTGTCCAACGTACCTGGCTTGGCTTCAGAATCGGTAGCAGCCTTGCTGTCCTCCTCTTGGAGGCGAGCAATCAAATCGGCCTTGTTTCCGGTCAGGGGAAGCTTGCGCTCGGTGAGAAGCTTCTTCAGCTCCGGCACCTTCATGGACGCGTAGTCTGCCATTGTGATGGTGGTCGTCGATTGGGCTGTGAAACGTGAACGAGTGTTGCTTGTCGCGAGACAAGGGAGCGCGAGTTTGCTGGGGGAAGCGGCGCGAGTGAAGGAGTGCGCGTGGTCGCAATCGACTACTTTGTAAATGCGCGCGTGCGCTTCGAGGAACGGTGACGTGGGCGATGCGCAGAGATGGGATGATGATGGACGAAACGAACGGGCGATGCGGTTGGGATGGATCAGAGAGGTCGGGCGCGCGCGCGTAGGAGGTGTTGCTGTGAAGCTCAGGTACCTCCCCGGCAGACTTGGCGATGGGTTGGCCGTACTGGTACCTGGCTGGGCAACTGGAGCTTGATCCCGCAGTAATCCGTACTGTGGGTCGCTGTGAAGGCTGCTGGCGGAGGACTTGTGCTGGAAGGCGAATGTACATTGCGCCGCACCAAAATTAGCCCAAGCGGCAAGTACCTATGTATCTGCATTTGCAAAATAGGCACGACACAGAACCGGCATCAGAGAATTATGCAGATCCAAGATATTAAAAATAACTGAAGCCTTATAGACCGGTTTGTAATCGCCTTTGTAGGAGTTCAATAGCTTAGGTAGAAGTGTTTGCTAGAGTTGATAATGTGCACATGTTTTGGATTGTTGAAGGTATCAACAGCTGCTCTGATAGAGTACCTGGCTAGAACACCCGTTCGTAATTATATAACCATTTATAGAAACATTTCTGGCGATTATTTCCTCGAAATTCCGATACTGAATCTTCAATATGTTGATGGTAGGGAGGTCCAGACCACCCACCCGCGGTGGGTCGAATCTGGCCTGATGGAGCAACTCCCTCACTGGCTCTACTTTTTTCTAAGGAGGTTTGCGGCCGTTTAGCTACAACTCCAAGTTTACGACACACGACTCGCCCCCTTTCAGCATCGCATCTCTCCTATTCTCCCAAGACTTTCGCATTGCCGCCATCCGCCATTGTTTCCGCACGCAGGACAGTCCCGACTTTGTCTAATCGACGTCGCTATCACCATGCGATAGTTGAGCTTGGACACAGCACATCACTCCACCCCAAGAGATCGCCACCATCCACGGCATCTCGCAGCAGTACATTGCCGTTGCCGTATAGGTAGCGACGGCGTCTTCACTTCTCCTCCCCCAAATTGTACAGATAAATTCATCACAAGATGACGCGACGCATCGTGAGTCCTGTCTATTCGCCTCGAGAGAACCCCCCCTGGACCGCCGCTAACCCATCAACTGCAATAGGTTCGTAATTTAATACAACTGACCGCGGCGGCAGTATTTACCGTCCTGGTGGTACTCTTCCTAGACCGAAGCTACAGAGTCTTGCCAACGTCGCTACACAACTACCTGCCGACACACCACCCCGGTCATGTCGTCACCGACGTCACGCTGGTGACATGCTCAACAGTAAACCCGCTCTCGAACTGCGACCTCGACCCCAAAAAATGGCATCGCATCGACAAGGAATTGTTCCTTGGCCGTGCCTGGACGACCAGGGCTTACCTTTACGTCAGCCGAAAACATGAAGAGGAACTTGTGGACGGGGACTCGGTGGTCGTCGATTTAAAGGTCGGTCCATTGAGACCCGAGGACGAAAAGCCAGACACGCATGCGGCCTGGGAGTCGCGGCCCGGCGGTATCTGGGTGAAGCGCTCCTCGCGAAAGGTGGCGAGCGATTCGGATGAGGCCATTACAAACGTCGACGTGCTCTTTGGCGATGACGCCGTGGAGGCCCGGGACGGCTGGGCGATCCGAGGGACGCCGCTCCAGATTGACGCGAGCGGCACTTTCCATTCGGCACACGTCACTGTTCGTCGCGGCGCGCCAGTTGAGCTAAAGAAGCCAAAACCGCGCATTCCGGACAGCGGAAAATTCAAGATTCTCCAGATTGCTGACCTCCACTTGAGCACCGGCGTTGGTGTGTGCCGCGACGTCTTCCCCGAGCTTGCCAAGGGCGAGAAGTGCGAGGCGGACCCCAGGACACTGGAATTCGTCGACAAGATGATCGATGAGGAAAAGCCGGACTTTGTAGTCCTCAGTGGCGACCAAGTCAACGGCGAGACGGCACCTGATCCGCAATCTGTAAGCATCTTGCACAACCACAATGCAAACACCCGCGCTAATCAAGGACAATGCTAGGCTATCTTTAAGATTGCCCTCAAGCTCAAGGAGCGCAAGCTCCCCTACGCCGCCATCTTTGGCAACCACGATGACGCGCAGGCCATGGGCCGTGAGGCGCAAATGGCCATCATGGAGTCGCTGCCGTACTCGCTCGCGACCGCTGGGCCGGCCGAGGTGGACGGCGTGGGCAACTACTATGTCGAGGTGCTCGGTCGCAGCGGCTCGGACCACTCAGCCATTACCATCTACTTCTTTGACACGCATTCGTATTCTCCCAACGAGCGCAAGTACCCGGGCTACGACTGGGTGAAGCCCAGCCAGATTGAGTGGTTCAACCGGACGGCCGACCACCTCGTCAAACCGCACGCCGAGTACAGCCACCAGCATATGGACATTGCCTTTATCCACATCCCGCTCACGGAGTATGCCGACTTCAACCAGACATGGGTCGGCGAGTGGCGCGAAGGTGTTACAGCGCCCATCTATAACCCTGGCTTTCGGGATGCCCTCGTCGACAAGGGCATCCTCATGGTCAGCGCAGGCCAGTATGTTTTGCCCTCTCCCCCTCTCCCCCGATTTTCATCACAGCTAACCATTTCATCCTCCAGCGACCACTGCAATGACTACTGTATCCTCTCCACCAAGGGCGAGCGTCGCGACCCGGCCATGTGGATGTGCTACGCCGGCGGCGTCGGCTTCGGCGGCTACGCCGGGTACGGCGGCTACCTCCGCCGCGTACGCATATACGAGATTGATGTCAACGCCGCACGCATCCTCACATGGAAGCGCGTGGAAGCTGGGCCCAACATCACCGCCCGCATTGACCAGCAGATCATCGTCGACGCCGCGAGGGCGTACCCGGCGCCGCTGCCCCCACCCTCGCCGCCACCCGTCGCAACGGAGCGTCCGGTTGACGGGGCTTGATTATGAGGGAGGTGTATACTGTTTTTACAGTCTCGACAGGGTTTCGCGAAGTGGCTTTCTAGCTCGGGGTTCCGTGTTAGACAGCGCTTGTCGCTTTTTGTGTATATAAATTGTGCTCCTCTGCCTGTGGAAGGGCTTTGTTTTGTCGCTGTTCTGCTTGTCTTTCAAGTATTATTGGTGACTGAGCTATCTGTTCATTTCTGACGGCGTTTCAGGAGGTTTGAAGGGAGTTTCGTTTTCTCTACTTGCACCAGTCTGTTCCTCGCGAGATAGTCTGCTTGAAGATATGCGCAGGGCGGGGCAATGAAATTTGAACATGTACATATTCGATACACGCGTCTATGAAGCTGCGTCGTAATGGTGCTCTCGATGAAGCTTGCGAGCAACGGTGTCGTTCTTTAAAAGAGACTGACTAGTTTCTCGGGCTATTATGAGTTGAACTCAGATTTATTTATAAATGCTTTATTGTTTATGCATGATTTACTTTATTCATGCATCAATCGCAGGTGGTCTTGTCACTCGTCGCTGGGTTAGGTGATTCTAGGCCTTTTGGCCCGATGTTTGTGGCAGCGGACTGATGGCAGCGGTGGCAACCTTGACCACGACGTGGATACACCGAGCGTATCGCGGCATTGACTCATCCTTTCGCGCCTATGTTCTTTTTTCTTCGCGTTGTACGTGGTGTAAGACGCACTGGGCGTAGAGGAGAGTTGGCGCAGGTTCTGGCCCAGACTGACAATACAATATGTTTTATATGGGGTTCGTGCTACGCAAGATAAGCTTCTCCCATTAGAGCCTTCCCTTTTCAAGTACACAATGTTTCTCTGAAATAACATGAGAAAAATATTTATTCGTAGCGAGACAGAGGCTCTTTTGCCACCCGAGTGTATCCGTAACGCACATCATAATAGAGGAGGAAGAGCCTATTTATTGTCTTAAAAATTCGGGGAGTGGATCGGTGGCGCTTGCTGTCCCGCGGGTTCTGGGGCGGATGGGGCACGACTGAGAAGCTTCCAGGACGTGCTCGGTACAACTTTGGAACTGACCAACTGAGCAGCTTGCCTCGACCATTGAAACACCGAATATTAGCTAGCACTAGATGTAGCCGCCGCAGATTTGGGGAAACCAACTCAGGCACTCAGGGTGCAAAGTTATCATCATGTACCTTGGTGCGTACATAACTACCTATATTCAACTTGCTAAAAAAGCTTGGGACCCCTAAAACTTCAACACCCCGGCAACCTTTTGGGCGCTTGGCTAGCCCACCAATGACATCAGCCGTGCCCCTCTGTCGCCTCCATTGCCCCCGCCGTCTTGGAGCTACAGTGGGCGGTCTTAGGCGGGGGACAAAATGAGTTGCCCTGCGAAAGGAAAAAATAAGTTGTTCACCGACTTCCACCTGGGCGCGACGCCTCCCACCAGGCCAACCAGAAGTATCCATATCCACTGTTATTTATGTCATAAAGAGGAGTAATCTAGGTTCGAGGAAAAATTTTATTCTTGCCATCTGGCCGGCGACTTTAAATACTTGAGGCGTCCAGTCCCCTGCATTCCCTTCTCCTCTCATCCCATCTCCCCCTCTCTCATCACCTTTTTTTTGCATACCCCTCTCTCAAACAATCCCTCACAATGTCTGACGACAAGATGGACATTCCCGTCTCCTACGGCAAGCTCCAGGAGCTTGAGGATGACTTTGAGGAAGTCGAGGTTGAACTCCGTACGTTGTTCTCGAAACGAGAAGAGACAAACAAACAGGACCTCCCAATCTAACACGCACACAGTCCGCCAGCAGGCCAAGCTCTCCGCCGGCCTCTACGAGAAGCGCGCCAAGGTCATCGCCGACATCCCCAACTTCTGGCCTCTCGTCCTCGAGCAGTCGCCCCCCGAGCTCGACGAGTGCGTGCAGCCCACCGACTCGGCCGTGCTCCTCAACTCGCTCGTCGGCGTCTCCGTCGAGCGCTTCGAGCTGCCCGCCGGCGGCGACCCGCGAAGCGTCGCCATCACCCTCACCTTCTCCGACAACGAGTACTTCTCCAACAGCTCGCTGACCAAGAAGTTTTGGTGGCGCTACGCCAAGGACGGCTGGTCCGGGCTGGTCTCGGAGCCGGTGCCCATCGCCTGGAAGTCGGCCGAGAAGGATCTGACGGGCGGCATGCTGGACCTGGCGTGCCGCTTGCGCGAGGCGGAGCGCAAGCAGGGCAAGAAGCTCGAGGATGATCAGGAACCCAAGAAGGCGCTGCTGGCCAAGATGGAGGCGACGGGCCTGGGCGGCGTCTCGTTCTTCGCGTGGTTCGGGTACCGCGGCCGCGACGTGAGCGAGGAGGAGTCCAAGGAGGCCTTCAAGGAGGAGCTGGCCAAGCGTGAGAAGCGCAAGGCCGGCGAGGATGTCCCCGAGGACGACGAGGACGACGAGGAGGATGACTTTGACGAGTACGAGACGGAGATCTTCCCCACCGGCGACGACGTGGCCATCTGCATCGCCGAGGATGTCTGGCCCAACGCCATCAAGTACTTTAGTGAGTCGCACCATCCATGTTTTTTCTTTCAAAAGAAAAGGGCAACAATATATAGGAATCTATGCTAACGACCAGATCTTCTAGTCACCGCCATGGAGCACGACGCCCTCTCAGACGTCGACTTTGAGGAGTCGGACGAGGAGATGGAGGAGGCCGACGATGAGCACGCCAACAAGAAGCGCAAGGCTTAAATGACTTTTTTTTTATCATGACGGATCGGGAAAAGAAAAGGTGTTTGGTTAATGAAGTTGGTTTAATGTGATGCCCCTTTTTTTGTTTTGGTCAGATACCCGTGTGCTAGGACACGAGGTCCAACACAGATAGAAGAGAAGATGCACCAGCTACGCGTGGGCAATGAATGAATGGGATGCGACGCCAGTGCAAAAGAGAGTCATCGAAAAGAATAACGTGCAGATAAAATTAAACTACCAAGGAAATCCCTCCTTCTATAGATGGATGCTACTGTATAAAAGCAACACGGCTTCATGTACTTGCACACGCCTTGACACACTTACATCCTCTACTCACTTGGCCTTGGCCTTGAGCTCGTCCTGCGTCCTCTTGGCCGCCGACCAGTCGACCTTGCCGCGGCCCTGGAACACGCCGAGGCGGTCATACAGCGACCGCGCGCGCAGGTACGGGTCGAGGTCCCAGAAGTTGTCCGCCAGCTGCGTCGCCAGCTCATCGCGCTCCTTCTTCACCCTCTCGCGGTCCGCCGGCGCCTCGGCCGCGATCCACTCGCGCGTCTTGCCCTCAAAGGCGGCGACCAGGTCTCGGCGGCGGGCCAGCAGCTCGTCGCGCGTGGCGTGGTCGTCCATCTTGGCGTTCTCGCCGTCGACGGGCGGCACGTACTCGTACTCCCAGGGGTTGGTGCCGCCGAGGTCGGAGACGAGCTGCTCGGGCGCGATGTACTTGGAGATCTCGTCGGGCCCGTTGGTGAAGTGCACCTTGGAGGCGACGACGGGGTCGAGCCAGCGCTCGATGATGCGGTAGACGCCTGCGGGTGTTGCGTGTTAGTGGGAAGAGAACGAGGGGCGGTAGGGGGGGGGGACGGACCGCCGAAGCCCCAAGGGGCGTTGTGGACGAGGATGCAGCCGAGCGACTCGGGGTAGTTGGCCTCGAAGCACTGGACGAGGAACTTGACGGGGACGTAGTCCATGTTGGACAGGGAGAAGCCCGTCAGGTCAAACACGATGGTCTATAACAAAAAGTCGTTTTGGTCAGCATGGAATCCTCAGGCGCACCCTCAGCATCAGCACAAGACCACAACTTACACCCATCTCCTGCGGCGCCTGCAGCGACAGCCGCGCCAGCTCGATGCAGTACACCGTAAACTGCTCCAGCGCCTCCGTGCTCTGGTCCGACGCCCTGTGCCTCGCCGCCCTGATGTAGTTGACCGGCCGCCCGTCCCTGTCCCACCCGTGCAGGAACCCCTTCGCCCAGCGCATCTGGTTCAAAAAGTCCTTCCCCAGCGTCTTCTCCTTGGAGCCCGCTGCGCCGTGGACCTCGTGCTCGAGCGCGTGGCCCTCGCCCTGGCGCATCAGCACGCGGTCCACCTTGCCGACCTCCATGCGCCACCGCAGCGACTTGGCCAGCATGACGACGGCGCGCATCAGGTTCCACTTGCGCGCGCGCAGGAACCGCAGCGCCAGCGTGTCCGGGTGCTCGTGCTTGACCGACTCGACGATCAGCGCGCGGCCCGTCTCGGGAGTGTACACGTCGAGCGCCTCGATGGCGAGCCGGAGGAGCTCCTCCCGGTTGGGCTCGTCGGCGGGGACGAGCCGCTGCATCTCGGCGGCGCAGTTGGGGAACTTGGGGTGCGTGAGCTCGGTGGAGGACTTCTTCCTGCCGAAGAGGCCCCAGCCGCCGCCGCCGTTGGTGGTGGTGGCGGCCTTGGCAGGGGTGTCGTCGACTTCGCCGCGGGCCTGCTTCTCCTTGTAGATTCGGTCTTCGGTCTCGTACATCTCGAGGACTTGAAAGGCAAAGGCCCACAGCTGGCGCAGCTTGTCTTCCTGCTCGTCAGTCAGGTTGCCGAGGTGGCCTGGGGGGATATCTTGGTGGTGGCCGTTTTGCGACATGATGACGGGATGTTGGAGTTGGTTTTGGGGGGTAGAGGGGGAAGGGGGGGGCTGTTGGTTTGTGGGAGGCGGGTTGCGACGGGTCTATGATCCAGACGGCTACAGGAGGCTGTGCGTCGAATCTCTGATTGCAATCTCTAAGGAATCAAGAAGCAAGAAAGCCAATTGTAGGGATAAACGGAAGATGGAGATGGACAGGAGCAGAGGACATGGCGTTGGCTGAGCTTAATATCTTGAGCCACCTTTGTATGAGGACCCCCC